ACAACATTCCTTAGGGATTTTTGTATTCCAAAATAGGGTCAACAGTTTAATTTCCCGCCCCACCCCCCACTGTCATGAGAAATAACCTGTCCACAGAGAACATGTTGAAAAGGATTTCATTTTACTTGAATCCACTATCAACATCTATGGACATGACAGTCAAGTTAATCAAACAGTGACACACTGCACGGGGCAAATCTGCCACAAATGATGACCAAATGCTTTTTAAAAAGCAAAGTTGCTACTTTGAAGACCAAGGTGTAGCTGAGCCAAGCCACAGTGTTGATAAACCCCTCGTCTGAGCAAGTGCTGCCTTTGAACTGTGGTGCTGATGAAGAAATACTGACTATACCCTCAACTACCGGAAGCTCAAGCCTGTTTTGAAAGATGTTCCGCTCCTTGGCGTTGACCTCACATGCTTTGGGCATACCCACCGCCTGGAGGGAGGAGGATCTCATAGTTGGCAGAGGGTCAGCCAAAAAGACTAAGTGGCTGCAACCACGGCCTCAAACACGATTGTGAGACTGGTCCCAGGCCCAGCAGTGAGTGCTTTGCTCTGTTGTGCACAGGGTCAGGTCACTGTGAGCGCAAAGTGACGGACAGCAGCCAAAAAACATCCAGAGTGAAGAAAACATCAGATCTGGGTGCTGCAAGGCAGCGGATGCTGAGTCAAATCCCTGGGTAAAGGATGCTCAGGCGACCTTGCTTAGAGAAAGCTCTGTCATCACAAACGGGAACAAAGCCGCTATCAGGGTTAAGCTGTGAGCCAAGAACCTGGCCCAGTATAATACACGCCACACATCGAAGTTGAAAATAAGCTGAGAAGTGGACTTAAAATCAGCAGCGGAGAATTTTTAAAAGACAAGTGCCAGTGAGTTAGCAGTTATATGACGATATAATTTGGCAGTTCTGTAACGATGCAGCCATTCTCTATCTTGTGATCTGATGTGACCATACTCTAATTTTGCATACTATTTCTTTTGTCATAATGGCTTGGCCTTTGAAATCTAAACATATTACTGAGACAACAATGTATTAAAAATCAATATAAAATACTTATTTTTTACTCTTTATCTTTTGTGTCCCTATATAGTTCTTGCCAATATGTTCCCTCTTGTTCTACCCACTTGAGTCCAGACAAGTTAACTTTGTATCTTCTGTCGGATATATACAGATGATTTTAATAAGATGAAATTCATTATGATTCATTGAATTTGCTCATAAAAGAGGAAAAAAGACAAGTGCAAATAATCATCCGAATATGGGGGGGACCACAACTCTGCAGCAAAGGTGAGAACCAGGGTCTGGAGTTTGCGGGTTGAATGTGCATCTGTCTCAGCTCCTGAAAAGTGTCCAGGGAGTGACCCACACAACTCCGAGCACATCTGATAGGACTGATGCCCGGGACAGAATGAGGGTGAGGGAGACACTGAAGGCATGCTCCTGGGGCCTCGCAGCCAGTGCCTCGGCCAGGTACGTCCTGACGTTCTGCATCTCCTGCTTCACCCTAGTTGCCCCGGCCCTGCTAGTCCCAGGCATAGCCTTTTAGAAATAACATGGCCTAATTGAGGGACTTTTTCCAAAGTAAAGCCCTATTAGATACCATTAAAGTCTAAAAGGGGGTGCTTTCTAAAGGTAATGGGGAGATCTAGAAAGGATTAGGGTGTGTAATTGGGGATCACAATAGTGGTGAGATCTTAAAATGACTTAAGTTCTGCTGTGACACAAGCCAAGCCAGACTGGTCAAGATGGAACCATGATCAAGGGGCAAGGTTAGCAGGAGATCAATTCTCCCCACCCCCCAGTTTTGTTCAATATCAAACATAACCACACATGATGTTGTCCAATGGCAGCATGGACTTGCCCACAAGTGACTTCAACAAGGCTGGGGATCCCTGCTAGAGGTGGGACCAGTTTTAACGCTTCTTAAAAAAAAAATCAATCTATGATTCTATGACCTTTGTTTCAAATTCCAGAAGAAATCATTCCATGATTGTAAACTCAGCAAATGCTGTGTTTCAGCTTCAAAGGGGTGAAAAAGCACTGGATTTGGTGTCTGATGGGAGGAGGGTGACAACTGGCCAAAGTGAGACTAGGCAATCTGGGGGTTTCTGTTCTAGGTTCCCCTTAACTTCAAACAACTCTTAAAACCCAGAGGTGAGAGATGCAACTGAAGACAGAGACTGAGCCAACAAACTGACCAGGAAAATGAGAAACAAGCTGTGTCTCAGAGTTGAGCTGAGGCCCTGAATGTGGCAGGAAAGGAGTCAGGGTGGTTCCTAGCTCCAGCTGCCCGTCAGGGCCTGTAGACACCTCCATAATGGCCCCACCCGAGCTCTCAATGCCCTGTGCCTTCTAGTTTTCAGCTGTTCACCAATTCTAGCGTTAGGGGATAGAAAAGGAGGACCTAGCCAATGTGATTCTCTGACCCATCCTTTGTACACCAAGAATGGGAGACAAGAGAAGCAAAAACAGTGCTTTGCACTGAGATCCAAGCACCTCCAAGCCTCCCAGCTCCTGAGACATCTTGATCTAAAGAACCGAATGGGGCTGAAGGCACTGTTGAGTGTCTGGGACACATGAGAAGCAAAAACAGTGCTTTGCACTGAGATCCAAGCACCTCCAAGCCTCCCAGCTCCTGAGACATCTTGATCTAAAGAACCAGATGGGGCTGAAGGCACTGTTGAGTGTCTGGGACACACAAGTTCAATGCTGCTCAGCACGCAAGGCAGGCAGGCTGTGAACTTGGTCTACCGACCTGCAGGATGCATCGCTGCTCTGAAGCAGTGCTTCCTATGCTCTGGCAACAGCCCATTTTTAAATTTTTTTTTTAACTGAGCAAAGATTCATCGCCTATGGAAGCTACCAGGCCAGCTGGTCTGCCTGTTGCCTTCTTTCCCAGGAGGATGAGGTAGCAATGCCATCACGGTGAAGTGTCTTCTAAGCACTCTCCTGGCAAGAGTCTCTCACAGGAACCCGGTGATGGGGACACTTGTTGTCAAAGGAGTCAGGGGGTCTGACCATCTGTGAACGCTGGCCCAGTGCATCAGGCATCAAGATCTACATGGATTTTAGCAACTGAAATCTTTTCCAGGCAAGTGAGAGAACCTATAAATTGGGTTCTTACCAGCTACCATGAAAGGTTGATTTTATTTTTTTATATCATCTTTACAGCCCAGATACATTATAAATATTATGTGCTTTCAAAATGTTAACAGGTTCATCATAATCTTAAGACATACACACATACTCTCAAAGCTTTCACATTCTAGGATATCAATAATTACATCCTCCTCAAAGAAAACAGCACACAGAATTAATTCCTTCATAAAATCATGGCTGCCAAACCAACTGTGCAGATGCCCACGGCTTCTGGAGCTTCCCTCTCCCCAGCACACGACAGGGACGATTCACTGACTGTGGAAACGGAGAAACGTGACTTGACAACGCAGCAAATTTCTGAGACAGGTCCCCTCTGAGGCAGGCACGGGTGTTGACAGCACTTGGGGATGAACGGGGTAACCTGTATCAGAACTCCAGAGCAGGTCTATCTGTGAGAATTCTTCTGTTCAAGTAAAGAAATTCAGGAAGAAGAGACCCTACGTATTTGCAAATGTTGGAGGGCATGCTCCCAAAGGAGACTTGCTAAGAGGTTCTCACTCCATCAGCCCGTATCACTGTCCCCCCACTCTCAGTCCTCAGTGTCCACTTAGACAGTCTTTGGTAAGTGTTCTTGGGCTACTGAAGACCTAAAAAGGAAAGATTATGTAAGCTGGACAAATAAAATTGATCCTAAACCAACAGAATTACGAGTATGATGACGGAAGTCAATTTGCAAATTCCTAGGGGGAAGAGTGGGATCAGGAAGATGGCAACAGAACAAGGCAACGAGACAGCAGGCTTTGGTAGGAAGCACACCATTAACAGAAGGCACATGGCGACTGAAAAGGAAAAAACAAACGGCAGTGAGGCTTCTGCTCTGACTCGATGCCAAACAGTGTTTCAGCAGCTCTTCAAAGGAGTTTTAAACAGAGAATAAATAAACAAGCATCATGCAGAATACAGAATCATCCAGCCCTCAATCTCTCTCTACAATAAGGCCTTCAGATTTCCAACGTAGTGTCCGTCTAATTACAAACTGGGACCCTGACAGGAGCCAAGTGAGCGACGGGAACTCTGGGAGAATCAAAGAGGACAGGAGGGAAGGGAGTGACACACAGTCCAGCCTGCATGCTCCATGAGAACCCAGGACAAGGCACTGCCCGGGACTCTCAGCTCAGACCATTTGGCGTTGGTGGCCGGCTGGCCTCGATGAAGACGCAGCTGGACGGAGATGAACGTCACCAGCTCTGCCGTTCACAGTAACGATCAAGCAGTCCCATTGTGGGCGCCGACCTTTTACTGTCAACCGCAGTGACTGGAAACAGAGGACCTACAGTCAGCACCTGGCGGTGTGGCTCCCTCCTTGAACAGAGAGAATACGGTTCCTGTAAGCTCGTGGACTTCCACACATGTGAGAAATGCAGACATTTTCAAAGTCAGGATGTTTTGCTTTGGAGGAAGTCAAGGCTCATCTACCTGACCCTCAGTAGTGAGGCCTTGTCCAGGAGTCTTCCCGTGTCATCAGAACCAGAAGTGAAGACCTATCAAGAGCCCCACCCGCGGGCTATGTGACATGATGGGTGGGGTCAGCAGCTGTGAAGGGTGCTCCAACCCTAAGTGACAGTTACCAAGCTTATCCTGTTGGACAGAAAAATGAGAACATTCCAGGAAAGTCTTAAGGGCTAGTCACTCACACACATGTGCACACACGTAACACACGCCACACAGCACACACAGGTGCATATGCGCAGCAGTCACACCGCGCCTCTGAGGTGCAGCCCAGTCAGCACTTACTGGCTGAACTGAGCGCTGCAGTGAAACTGCGCCGAGTTCCTTGTGCAACAGCCAAGTTCAATGTAAACGTAAACAGCAACAGGTTTTCCACGGGCCTCGGTGTACTATCGGATGTTGTCCAAATAATGCACTTCTGGATAGAGACAGTTAACAAGAATAGCCAGGAAGGCCTTTCCGTCATGAAGGCAGTGGCCAGCGTGCTTTATAAACCGGGTGGCTTGAGCTATCTGGTCCTGGTACTCGACATACTGCTTATTTGATATCAGGGATTCAAGGGCACTCAGAGCCTGAAAGACACAGAAGATGGGGGGTTAACGAGAGTGTGGAACCTGGTTTCCACAAGTGCACTGCATCCTTCGGTTACATCCCAGTCTGTGCGTCTTGGGTGGAGAACAGAGAACGAGAATGAGGAGTAAGAGGACGGCCTCGTTAACCGGAAGGCTGCGGCAATCAAGCGTCTCTAGGTTTTGCCATCTCACATGCGGCCTTCTCTCCTGTCAGATACCACCTCTCACCTTCGCCCTGCAGAGCCTCTGCTGTGGGAGGCTGGCCTTTTGGCCTATTCTTCACCTGTCACTCCTGAAGTGATTGATACCTTGCCCTCATTCTCCCCAGTGTCACCTACTTAGTACTCCCTGACAGATCAAGCCCCAGAGAGGGGGCAAAGCTTCTCTCTGCACCCTCTGTCCTCAGAGCCCCATTGGCACTCAGACAGCAGGACTGCCGGTGTGTACCTCTGAGCAAAGTGCTTCACAAGGCTAAGTGCATCTTGATAATGAGAGATCTCATTGATGGGCCATTTGATTTTATTCCCAGGTTACGAAATAACTCCATACTCTGCTGTCCAACTAAACTGAATACTAAAGAAATAATCTGCTAAGTGCTACTGAGGGTTAAGAGCAAAATCATTCAAAAAAGTATTAGGCTTATCCTGTTTCTATCTAACAAACAGCAAAGACAGGACTAGATAAGGTTTCCACACTGATCCTTCAGAAGACGGTGTTAAAACGTCTTCCTTCCTGCACGCTGAGAGAGTGGGATAAAAAGAAAACCCTAGAAGAATAGTTCCTTAAGATTTTGGTTTCCACTTGTACAAGCTCCCCCACACAAGGACTGTGAACATGGCCCCAACTGTGGGGACCACCCAGCACCACAGCAGCCCCCGAGCCCGCCCCTCTCACATCTAAGGAACAATGAACAGATGGAATTTGCTTGCCCTAAGAAAAGAGCAAGACTTTTGGAGGGAGTATACGATGGACTGGTAGCTTAAAACTAACAGAAGATGGAGAGAGAAGTCGTAGGAGTGAAAATAAGCCATTGGAAGGATTTTGGTAACGAGCTTAGAGATGTGTGAACAGAATTCTGAGAGACCAAGAATGTGTGACCTCATGGCCACAGGAGGTCCAGGTGCCTCTGACTCTTGCCATCTGGCCTGAGACACGGATGCAGCTTCCTGACTTTGTCTCTATGCTTGCAGACTATTAAACTTGGCTCGGGCATTTAAAACTGCAGAAGAAACCCTTTCAGAAGAAGAACTAAGGAGTCTAGGCACCACCTCTGGGCTCTCCCATCACCACAGAGTGGACAGGCAGGAGCCTAGAGGGGCCACACTGGCCAGGGGTGAATCCAACTCCAACACTGACTGAACGTGTCATTTCGAAAAAGTGTCTCTCCATCTCTGCTTCCTCATCAGTAAACAGAAGGCAATGACAGTTCCTGTGTTCTAGGGATGGGAGAAATGGTTACAGGTAAAACCTTGGGAGAAATGGTTACAGGTAAAACCTTGGGAGAAATGGTTACAGGTAAAACCTTGGGAGAAAGGCCAGGTAAAACCTTGGGAGAAAGGCCTGGTGAATCACTTCCCAAAAAACCAGCAGCTGAAAACCCCGAGGAGCACAGCTGTAATCTGATGCACACAGGCTCTCCGGGAACCGAAGGCCACTGGACGGCAAACAGCAGTTATGAGGGTAAATGAGCTAAAAACTAGAGCCGGTGCGGGCCATGAAGGAAGGACCCAAGCACACCGGGCACACTTTCCTGTCTCACACCGCTGTATGGGACTAGCCTCTTTTTAGGCTAAAGACAGTTTTAGAGGAAAGTGACCACTGCCATTAGTTTACATGTTTTCAGAATAAAGTGTAACTTCTTTTGGCCACCTCTGTGTCAGTATGAAATTACTGCAACAGCAGCCAACAGTGGTCAACCTCTAGGCCCACAAAGCAGAAAAGAGCTCGCTGGTTTCAGGTTCAAGGTCAGATGCCCTGCATCATTCTCAACTCTGACCACACTTTCTGTACCAGTTCCTAACCCCCAGCATGTGGCAGCCCGGCACTTAGTCACCGTCAGAACAGAACCCAACCCTAGGCCGGCTTCCCTGTGGTCTTGCTTCTACGCTGACAGTAACATGCTGGAGTCTGGTGTCTACACGACATTGGTTTAAAACTGGGGGCGGGCAATGCTGTAACCACGAAAGGGAACCAACTACAGGGAGTTCTGTTCTGCTGAAGCTCAGTATGACACGGTGTGTCAAGGACAAAGTGGTGTGTCAAGGACAAAGCAGCCAGTGACCGCAAATGACACGGTGAGTCAAGGCCAGTGACTGCTCTTCCACCTCTGGGGAAGGTCTAGTGGGAAACTTCCAACTCTCCACCATGACCCTTTCTGACTGACCTGCTGGGCTTTCAGAGTCAGGTGTAACTCAGAGCCGGGCTTCAGTCGGACCTGGTCTTCCGCCGGAACCTGCACGGAGAGGAAGGCAGCCATGCTGCGGGCAGCCACTCGGAACCTTTGACATGGGGGACAGCAGAAGATGCAAATGACTATTAGGTTGCCATTTTAAATTGCACGTCATATTTCCTTTAAAAAAATAACAGTAACAAATAAAAACCCCTAAAACAGCAAACCCACAACATAAACACATCTCTATAGCTACTGGTTTTTCTAGTTTTTTCAGGACAACCTTAAATATGGTCTTATTATGACCTAGATGAAATATGCATAATTCAGACACAAGAACGAAAGAGCCAATTCAATCAAAGGATAAACAAGCCAATTAAAGGAGGCGGGGGTCAGAGAGTCATGCTAAATTCTACCATAAGCAAAGACACATGATGTTAAAGAGATTTAGGTAGTTCTCAAAGTTTACGTAATAAGATGTACTACTCAACAAGAATGTTGACCTCTGAATGGTATGAGATCTCAAACACTGATAAGGGCTTGAAAAAGTCATGTAAAAATGTATATATACACTGACTGCATGTATGTGTGTATATATAAATATATATATTCTGTATATGTATATTTGTGTGTGTGTATATATACACATACACACACATATACTATAAGAGAAAATGGGGAGACTTAGTGAAAATTCTTTCATGCATTGAGGTTTGCTTATTTTTTTTTTAATTTTTTTTAAAAAATTTACTATTTTTGTGTGTATACCGTCAAATCAGATCTGACCAGTCCAAGAGGAGATTGTCTCTCCTCCAGCACAGCATCTGGTGGATTTGAACTGCGCAACCTCTGGGATTGCAGTGCAGCTTCCTGTCACTAGGCCACCAGAGCTCCCTGGAGGTTTGCTTTTTTTTTTTGTGGACACGAGCTGTCTTTATGGCTGGGGTGCTGGGGCAGCTGGTGCTCAGGAGCTCTTGCTGGGGCGGGTTCGCTTCCTCTCCAGCATCACTGGTTTCTTCTGGCTGCGCAGGATGGCGCTGGCCCTGCGGATGGCGGCCACGCGCAGGTCGGGCCGGTACTTGTTCTTACAGATCATGTGGCGGCTGCTGCTGAGCGTGGCCCGGGCGCTCTTGTGGATGGTGGTCCGCCACCACGACCCCCTTGTTCTTGCGGTGACCCCCAGGGTCTCGCGGTGGATCAGCCCACTGTAGCGGAAGGAGTTGCGGGCTTTGAGGTTATTGGTCTCGGTGCTGTAAGTCTGCCTGTTCCTTTTAATCAAGAAGCTGCAGCAGTTACGCACGACCATCCATTGCAGATGGGCAGGCATGGTGGCAGCTCCTCTCGCAGCGGTGGCCGGAGGCGGGAAGAGGTTTGCTTATTTTTTTAAGCAACAAAACTATAGACTCATTCCTCGTTGTTTACCCTTCCCACCAACGGCCCTTAGCTTATCCTGACAAATCACTAGCTCTACTGTAATGGCTCTAACCAGGGTCTGTATTTCGGGAGTTTGCAGCACGAGAATAAGGTGCTCACAGCAAAGCAGCTCACTTTTTTACCTAACCATGTTCCTCATCACTGGCCCAAGGCCAGAAAGGAACCAGTAATGAAGAAGGACAGCAAAGTAAAAATAGAAGAGATACTAAAACAATTATTTGAACTTAAAGTTGTTTTAAAGTAAGAAAAACTAAATACACTTTCTGAGACAGAAAGGTATAATTGGGTTGATTCCCCTCCCTCCCCTCATCTCTGTAGGTGCTTCGAAGTCAAGGTGCAGACAGTGGAGGCTGGGTGTCCTTACCTGTTGGATAAGGGTGACCTCCGGCCAAACCCAATTGCCCCCAGGATCCCGGAGCTGAACCTCTCCTCAGCCAGCAGGCTCGCTCGGCTTTGCAGCATGAGCAGAATGCGGATGGCAGACTCCATCAAGATCGAGTCATTCTGCTCCATCTGGATCAGGGACAGCTGCAGGACCTGGTGCCACCACAGAAACAGCTTCGCCTCATCCTGCACACAGCTGTGAGGACGCACGGAAGAAATGAGAATCAGGAGCAGGAGTTTTCCCATACCCATTAAATTCAACATCCCTATTTTGAGTTTCTCCTTAGAGGCTAGGATTTTGAAGCTCTCTCTCACATACTTTGGGCACATGGCCAGGAAGGACTGATCCTTGGAGAAGGACATCTTGTTCGGAAGGAGGGAAGGACAGTGCAGGAGAGGAAGACCCCCGGATGAAATGGATTGACTCAGTGACTAGAGCAGTGGGGGTAGGTGTGTCGGCGTCAGTGAGACTGGCTCAGGAGAGGACAGGCTTCAGAGCTGTTGTACAGAGGGTCGGCTGAGTCACAGGTGACTTAAGAGCACATTTTGAGTTCCAAGTTCAGGGACATTAGAACTTTGGAAGCTCAGGCTGACAGGTAAACATTCCTTATTAACTAATCATCCTTGTTTGGTGTTGTTGAGTCGAGTATGACTCTTAGTGGCCAAGAGACGAACAACAGATCTGAACCCTGTCCTGTCCTGCACCATCCTCATTTGCTCAACACACTTGAGCTCTCTGGTGCAGTAACTGTGTCAATCTAGAAGCTTGAAGGTCTTTTCTCTATGTTAGCAACTCTCCACCTTTCCAAGCTCATGTCTCTCTCTCCAAGAAACAGCCTCTCCTAGCAAAGTACGCCCAAAGTATGTGAGACAAATCTGTCATCTTGGCCTCCAAGGAGCACTCTGGCTGTACTTTGTCCAAGACATATCTGTTTGGTTTTTTACAATCTGTGGGATATTCTCTAACACCACAGCTCACCAACTAGTAGGTCGCCAGCAAAGTACTATGCTGCCAATTGAAAGGCAGGTGGTTTGAATCCACCAGCTGCTCCATGGAAGAAAGATGGGTGATCTCCTCCCGTGAGATTTACTGCCTCTGAAAAGGCACTGGAGGGTCAGCCAGGAGTTGGTTCTGACTCGACAGCACATAACCACCAATCTTTGTAACAATCCTGAGTAGTAAGTATTTTCTCTATTTAACTGGTAAGATGAGTGTTAATTAGCCCAAGCTGTAATCCAGAATCTTACTGGAGGTTTTTATGTATCATTTAATCCTCTGTACTTAAACCCTAAACTCCAAGTTAACCAAATACAATGGGTTTCACGGAACAGCCAGAGGACTGACATACCTTGGAAACACTTGTTCCATCCACTTGCTTAAGATAAGCAGCACTTTCATTTCATTCCTTAGCGTTTGCTCACTATTTAAACACTGAAGCAAGTAGACATACAGAGTCAAATAGCTGCCCAGGGAAATGCACTCCTGCAGGAATTCGTCTATGGTGAGCTCAGGAACTTGAAGAGACACGAGAATGGCACCCCATCCTAAATTTTTATTGAGGGAGTCTAAAGAGAAAAGACCCAGAAAAGGAATTAAGACAGAAGCAAGAGTCAAAGTCATGGACTAAATCAAAGGACTTTTCCACTTTAAGCTTCCTATCAAGAAAATATTGCTCGCATTGATCCTACAAGAAAAGGAAATGTCCCTCAGGGCTCAGACTCTAAAGTTCTCAGGTGATAACCACCTGTGCCCACACTAGCCATGGCTGAGGGTGAGAAAACAGAATTCACTGCTGTATCCTTGTAGACTGCCTGACCCACTTACCATATTGTGAGCATTAAAAATCCCATGTAGACAGTACTTGTGCCAGCCATTTAAGAGCTATACCTTTGGCTAGTACCATTTTTAAATAAGATTATTCATGCTATTCCAAAGGAAACTGTACTACCTTATCCATCATATTTTTATCAAAGCTTAGTGTGAGTCATATAGCCACAAAACCCTTAAAAATATTTCAGAAGGGGATAGGGGGCAGAGGAATCTGAACTTAGCATGGCAACTTTAAAGCACTTCCTGCAGGCGGGCCTGGATTCTCTGGGGTGGCTGAGGCAGGTCAGGCAATGGGCTGTGTGTACTTCCTGACACTCATTTCTGCAGTTTGCAATACAATATGTTTCTGGACCCAAAACTTAAACAGTCCTGTTCTGAGTGACACATCTTAACCAGGCCAGGTCTTTTTTTTTTTTTATCATTTTAGGCACTAGTATGATTTTATAATTGCCTTTATTTGGATATTATGTACGGTTTAAAGAAATGTATTGCTGTTAGGTGTGTTGAGTATGATTCATAGCAGCCCTATAAATAGCCGACCTGAATTTTGTCCTGTCCTGTGAACCAGGCCAGGTCTTTTACAGCCTGAAAATTTCAAGGCAGGGAGTGAAAATAACATAGGGAAGAGTAGGGGCAGGATGATCTCTTTATAGAAGTGTAAAAGGTGTGACCAAAAAAGCAACAAAAGGACTTCTACAAAAACTCATCTAAATAAAATAGGACAAATTTGGAATTGTGGAGCAGATGTTGGTTTATAGCATTTGCTTTGAGGACCATGGCTTGGCCTGTGATGTAACACAATTTGCCTTTAACTGGTCTACAGATTCCCTCCCTACAGGTGGCAAGTGCCTATAGACCAGGATCGTAGGCTCTCACGCTAAATAAGACCTTTACAAACAAGCGAGGCGATCCTAAGAGGATGACGTGGCTGTTCCTTTACCTTCCTTGAAGTAAGCCATGATGCAGGCCTCTGTGATCTCAGCCATGTGGCGGACGGAAGCCAGGCTGTGGCAGGCCGCTGTTAGAAGGGGCAGCACCCCCAGGCCGCTCACTTTCTGACCGATCCAGGTCCGGATGCTGCCCCGGAGGAACTCTGCAGTGGGGACTGTAGAGTTGTTCATCATCATTAGGACTTCCACAAAGAGGCTACTGAGGGCCATGTGTCGGCTCTGGCTGTCCATGTCTGTGAGGAACAAAGGCACTTAGGACTTCGAGAATGGTGGTTTGAATCCAGGGATCACACACAAATCCCCCACCTCTACAGACGTTACTGTTCTACTCGCTGATCCCAAAAGGTCCAGAAGTAAAACTGGGGCTGGGGGGAGAGGGGAGGGGGTGTTTAGCTTATACAGATAAGATGTGATGTATAAGTATAAAGGCAAAATGTAAGAACTGCCCTAAGTTCCTTAGGTACAGACAGCGGGGTTTATTAATAAACATAGCAGGCTGATGTGAAAGAGGAATATACGTATCAGAAGAAGGTTTATTTAATCCTTATTTTCTAACCTTTCTTCACGGAAACACAAGCATACAAACCTTTAAACTAATTAAACAGTCAACCTTGAAATTATTCCCCTCACAAATGTCAAAGCCGTCAACCAATACTCTACTTGAAACCAAATTTTAAAACAGTGCGGGAGACGGGGATGCTTTTTAACAAAAAGTTCTTAGCAAGAGCTCTTTTATTTCTTTGGTTTTTATTTTGGAAAAAGTGGGCAAGAGCAAAAAGGGGAGTCAGTACAAATGGACATTTCCAAACGATGAAAGGCGAAGAGGGAACGGAAGAACTTGTGTAAACACAAAAACAAACACCACCACAAAAGCTAACTGGAAACGAGTCGAGAAGTCCCTGAGGTTGAAGTCTTCCTTTGTCACAATCAAAACCAGAAAACAAGCTTCCCTGCGCTGTGAAGGAAACTATGAAGGCATCACTTTTTTTCCTTTCTTTTCATTAGTTTATTTACAAAATGTTAATACAAATTCGAACAAATTCTTTTAATTTCCCTCACCCCCCCACCCCTCAAATTGTACAACCCAATGATTAATGCCCCCTTCCCCCTGCACATCCACATCCCTTTGCTTTCACCCTCTCCCACCCCTCCTGGATCCTTATACTCATTCTACAATAACGGTCTTATACAATAGCTATCCTTGTGGGACTGGGTTAGTTCACTCAGCATAATGCTCTCTATACCCTCCCAAGTTAGGTAATAATTGACAAAGTTATTGCTCCTGCGTGCTGCGTAGTAGTCCACTGTATGACTGTGCCGTAATTACAAGCTACTTCAGTTGGGTGCACTTTTTTGTTGTAACAGAAATGTGACTTCAGTATTTACATCAACAGGAATGAGAAGAAATTATAAAACTGTACCCACTGCACTTGTGACCCACCACTCACTGTTGCTGAGTCAGTCTTGAGTGAGTGGGACCTCCCACTGGGTTTCTGAGATTGTAAATATTTATGGGAGTAGACTGTCCATCTTGTTCCCTCAGGGCAGCGGGTGGATTCAAACAGCTGACCCTTTGGTTGTTGTTTCTGTTGTGTACCATCGAGTCAGAACCGACCCATCGCTGACCCTCTGGCAGGTTTTCAGAGGCAGTTAATTGCATGGGAGGGTATTGCCCATCCTTCTCCTGCAGAGCAGCTGGTGGTCTCGAACCACATACCTTTGGGATTCAGTGCAGCTTCTTGCCACTAGGCCACCAGAGCTCCCTACTAGCTTTACTTTAGATGTTTTCCTAAATATTAGGAGCTAACAATCTGTGTTATGCAGATGACACAACCCTGCTTGCTCAAACAGAGGAGGATCTGAAGTGCATGTTACAGAAGGTTAAGAACTGCAGCCTTCAATATGGATTGAAGTTCAACATCAAGAAAACAAAGATTCTCACCACTGGGCTGAATGCCAGCATCATGAGAGATAAAGAAGAAACTGAGATTGCTAACCACTTTAGTTTGCTTGGCTCTACAATCAACACTCTTGGTACCCAGCAGGCAGGAAATTAAAAGATGAGTTGCACTGGGAAAGTCTGCTGTCAGACCTCTCCAAAGTACTGAAGAGCAACGATGTCAGTCTGGAGACTAAGGTTCGCCTGATCCAGGCCACAGTCTTTGCAATTACTTGCTATGCATCAGAGAGCTGGACAATAACTAGGGATGATAGAAGGAGAATTGATGTCTTTGAGTTGTGGTGCTGAAGAAGAGTACTGACTATACCATGGACTGCTAAGAGAACAAACAAGTTTTATTCTAGAGAGGGTGAGACCAGACTGCTCCTTGGAGGTAAAGGATTCTGAAGCTTTGTCTGACATACATTTGGACATGTTGCAAGGAGAGACCAGTCCTTGAGAGGGACGTCATGCTTAGGAAGGTGGAGGGACAGCATAAGAGAGGAAGATACTAGATAAGATGGATTAATTCAGTGACTTGGGTAATGGGGGTGGGTGTGCCAAAGATAATAAGATCGGCACAGGATAGAGCAGGGTTTAGGGCTGTTGTACACAGGGTCCCTACAAGTCACAGGCAACCTGATAGCACATAACAACGATAAAAATAATATTGGAAGAGTTCCACTGTCAAAGGCATGTGGTTCAATTCCACCAGCTGCTCCAAGGGAGAGAAATGGGCAGTCTCCTCTCATGTGATTTATCACCTCTGAAAACCTGATGGAGGATCAGCTGTGAGTCGCATGTATCTGGTATGTCGGTCAAAGTCTTTGACTCACTGTTTGTTGTATTACCCTGATCATTAACAAAGTTCAGCATCTTCTCATGTTTACGGGTTCTTCCGGATAAATCCAGGACTTCCCATTAGTCACTTACCAGGTGGGCTGAAGAAAATGATATCATCTAAGAGCTTAGCCATCTGCTGGTCAAGGACTGCTAAGGAGATTTTCCCATTTTGTTCCAGGTTATTGAGAAACTGGACCATCTGATGAATGAAAGCGCGGCCTTTTGCAACTGCGTCCTAGCAGCAAACAAAGGGGATGGAAGGAACAGATCAGGGAACACCCAGAGATCTGAAACCCAGAGCCCCCAAGTCTCGGGATCCGCACGTCTGTGGAAACATTACAACCAGAACTTCCCCACCACATTCCAACAGAACATCCTTGACTACATTAGTAATAGCATTAATCAGATACCAGTTATTTGCCCGGAACTTTCCAAAAAACTTTCCTGTTCATTTTCTAATTTATTCTTCATCACAATCCTCTGAAGGAGGGTATTATTATTCCCAATTCAGTCAAGAGAATAAAAATGCTTATCCCAAGTCTCAAAGACAGGACACGCAGGGCCCCGGGCTTGCAAGACCTCAAGCTCATGCCCATAACTTCCAGGTTACTCTTGTATCATTGGCTGGTTCAGATCGCTAAACCAACTGCCTGAATTGCCGACACCCAGCTCTCAAGCCCTCACACCTGATCCTTCCGCCCAAGACCCTTCTAATTAAGAAAAGACTTGTAGGAGAGATAAATAACTCTAAAAGATTCAAATGGAGACCAAAACATAAGTGTGCTAAAAAACACATCCTCCAACTTCTCTGCTGCAAAGCCACCAGTATCAAGAGTCTGTTAAAGCAGGACTGATTCTCAAACTGATCATGAAGAACATTCTGTCTCTTAAATGACACACTCAACTTACAAGATGTTTCTGGCTGTCAGTCGGAATGGAGAGGCCTGCAGACACTTTCAGGAGCTTCACTATGGATTCCGCAGAAGACACTTTAGCCAGGATGATGGATGGCGGGTAATGACTGCTGAAATAATTGATCACACCCTGGTATGACAGACTGTCCACAAGGTGCCAGGAAAGTGAGCTCGTCTGCCCAAGGAGACTGAGTAAAGGAGAATCCTAAAAAAGGAAACGCATGTTCTTTTAGTTCTAGAACCCCTGCTCTCCCAGGAATACGCATCCCTCACTAGTCTGACCACTGAGCCTAATGATACGCACAATACAAAATACCAAAGCATTACATTAGAATCCAGTTAAGGTACTAGTTATAGTAACAACCAAAGTCTCAGTTATCACTTTAATAGTAATAATAATTAACTACTTAATATTAGTTATTAAGTAGTAATAAGAGAAGTGCAGAGAGTTCAATATTCACAGAAACTATCTGATTTGTTGGCATGCTATAACAAAAATCTTGGGGGAGACGTGAAGGAGATAGGTGTGAAAAACAATGGATAAGAACTTTGTAAATAAACCACTATTTTTAAAAAACATCAGGAAAAAACCAATTAACAAAAAAAATCTTAAAACAGGAAAACATTTTTCTTCTGGAGAAGGGAGTACAAGGGCAGAACAGAGGATAAATTTTAGAAATCAACCTGAATTCTTTCTCGACTTTACAATATAATTTGAGGAACTATGGGGTGAAGAGCATCCCTTAGGAAAGCAGTTATTTATTCTGTGGTAAAACAGATGCAAGGAAGCAACTGTCTAAGACAGAAGTAAGGTCTAAGGGAAAACAGCAAAGTGATACAGGGCAAAAGTTAAGAACAGCATAGAAAATAATGAAATCTAAGACTGACAGACGTACTCTAACTCACGGTGGTGACCCTTCCTAAACTACGATTAGGTTACGGGTCATCCCAGAATTACCAAGCATCTAGATGAAAGCGTGCGTCGTATGCTAAGCAAACATCCACGCGGACAGGCCTCAGGGAAAAGGTGGGAAGTGACAAGCCAGCAGAGGATCTAGGGAGCACTGTCAGGTTTGCAACGAAAGCACTTTACACTTACTGTCTGTTCTACTAGTTGATCCTCCTTTCCCAGCAGAATCATCATGAAAAGGAGGCAGACCATCATGCTTCTGGTTTCGGGGAGCGGGCTGGGGTTCCAGGCATCAGAGAGCACACTAACCCAATTGACTTCACAGAGTATAAACCCTAGAAACAAGAAACAGCTCTTGGGGCTGCCTCGTTCCACCTAAAAGGAAATGAACAAAAATCAACGTTTGCTTTAGCTGCTCACATAGTGGGACGATGTGTCGGCATGGAGGTCTCAGGATTTGATGTGTATTTTTAAAAAGAACATTTCTTTTTTTCCAGGTGGGACAGGACAACAGTGGAGATCCTTTAGTCTGCTGGTGTCTGGTGCCACTGAGTCCACGACAGCTCATAATGAAGAGGGAGTGAAAGCCTTGCCATTTCCCGCCCCAAGTTCACAACGTCCATCACGCTGGAGGTCACTGCCATGGTCACCGCGCTGATCCCTCTGGTGGTGTGAGTATGGGTGACAAAGTTACACCGTCTCTGACCCCCAGGAGCACCCTGCATGCACTTCCTCCTTCTGCCAGTCAGTACTTTGTGCAAACACCACAACCCCAAGGCGGCAGCTTTTCTTCGGTCGCCAGAGTTGATCAACCTAGTTGATCAAGAGACTAAAAAGTTACCTTTTAAAGTCTAGCTCGGCATTTCGTGTTCTTTTTAAATAAGACATGGCTAGTCACAATTTTTTTTTTATCCTTTCCAAATGAGCAAAAGCTCTACTCCATTATTGAAATAAGAACCAAGAGAATTTGATGATGACTCATGTCTTCCTATCATCAAATCACCGTGTTATATTCCTTCTTTCTCCTTTATAGAACCAATTCTTTATTGTCGGTTCTCTATGCCCAGCCCTACCCTCATTTCTCTCTCCATAAAAGAGACAAACAAAACACCAAACCCTTATTTTATTATACCAACAAGATCTAAAGAAAGGTTCTCAGCTTCTGACAAAGTCAAGGTCTTCTATCATGAAAATAAAATCCCTAGAGCTGAAGTCCATAACTTCCCTCTTTTTCTCCTCCCATAACTTCTCTTAATAGACTGGTCAATCACTCAATCTCCTTTATTCCTAGTTAGTCACTCTTTTATTACTAGTGTTTATTAATTAGTGTTCCCTTCATATACCAAACCTAGCTATCAAGACATCTTAAAGCTTTCATGTCTCTAAATACACTCGCCTTCGGCTTTCCATTGTGATCAGACAATGAGGACAAGCTGACAAGCAACAATGGGTTGGGTTAATTACAGGATTGATAATAAAGACAGCACTGAAGGACAGAAGTACACTTTACTCACCATAAATACACATTTGTATCAATCACAGCACTAAGGGTGTCTCAATAAATTTCATAAATGTGACACTGAGAGTAAATACAAATGAACTGGTGACCAAGAACACACGTAACAATCGTGAAAAGCTAAGACAGGGCTTATTATTTAAAACAGACATTTAGAACAAAAATATTTCAGCTGCCTGACTAATATGTAAATTACATCACTTTGCTAATGACACAAAGACTCACATATATTGATTTATGATGATGCAATTATAGAAACGATTATAGTTATAGAACAGGGTTCAGATCTTTTGTTCATAGGATCACTATGAATCGTACTCGACTCAAGGGCACTTAACAACAACAACAACATGATGTATCACTGGCTGTTACAATGCACTTTATCTCTATGGCCTCATTATATACTAGCATTGTTGCTGAAAGAATCTAATGTTCTGAGCATCTATTTACACGTTGCCTTAACAGGCTATTTAACAGTAAGTTGTTACCCTGATACTGTCCTAGACATGACGGTCATGACATTAGGACTCACACAACATTACTAACATGCAGAGGAAAGATATATTTTAGACAGACTGTCCCTTGAGTTTTAAAATGATCCTGCAGATGTTTGTCAGTTTTCTGTTAACATGAGGAAAACATTTGCACGACACCATGCAGCCATCACGGAGCACACTCCACACAGCACAGCACACTCCACACACCACACCGGGCAGCTGTGCACACAGGTACAACAGTCAGGCTGCACCCAGATCCCTCGGGCGGGGCTGGGCTGGTTGTGCTTACTTTGAAGAAGGCCTCCATCAGCACCTGGTCGGGGTGGAGGTCCCTCCACGGGAGTTTCTGGTACGCGGTATGGAAGGCGTACAGAATGAACTCGGGCATTCTAGGTGCAGTGCACGCCTCACAATAGTGCATGATGTGGAGTCGAAGGGCACCATCATCACCTGGCAAGAGCTTATCTAAGGTTTAAAGAAAAGAGAGCTGCAGACGTGTAGACTTATTTAACACCACAAGAACCAGCACAAAACACAAACTTGAAATAGAACTCTACAACTTAAGGTTCTTAATATTTACCCAATTTCAAAGCTTTTCAGATGAGTAAGGAACATTCTAAGACAATTATCTGGAAAAGCAATTACTAAAAAGACCGTAAGATTATACTGAAAAAACAAGGAACTCATGAAATACTATGCTAAGTGGATGACCCTAGAGGACATTATGCTGAGTGAAGTATCTCAGTCACAAAAGGACAAATATAGCATAGGGCCACTACTGTAAAACAGGACTGACACTGGGGTTGAGGGAAGACAGAGAAGAGGAGGAATGATGTATACTGCATTGCAACAGATGAGGGAGAGAACTGTTTAAAAGAGGTATGTGATTAGGTATTATAGTCATGACAGGAGCCCAGAATGAAGGCTGCACAGTGGAGTGGACTTGGGGGGAGGAATTGCATAGTAATGAAACAGTTTTTCTTTTTCTTTTCAAGGAGAAGAGTGAATTGGGGAGGGGGGTGGAAGGGAGAAAAGTGAAACTATGAATGAATGGAAACCCTAAGTCTCTTAAACTTTCATTTAAATTAATTAAAAAAGAGAAAAAGACTGTAAGATTGTAGGGGCAACTAGAAAGAGCAGCTGGTGTGTGAGAGGAGGCAGGGATGACACTCTTCCCCTGGCCCCCCAAACAGAACTGGTGGATCCTGCTGTCTGAGTTGAGGACACGGTCTTCCCACAAACCTCAGCACAGTGATGGGCACAGGCCGGGCCAGTCCTGCCCGCCATGAGCATCTTCACACTGGAATTCCGCACTGGGCTGGCTGGTATCTCTTCAGAGATATTACACAGTCTGTGGTCTTGTTCTCCTCTCCTTTCACTGGCCATGAGATCTATACTGAGGTGTGAAGGCTTCTCTGCCTCCTTCCTCCCCATCTATGCAGGCATTATCCCAGACACACGGCTAGCATTCTAACTCTGCCTGGACATCTCCTTCCCAGAAACCAAAGAAGCAGAAACACACTATCCAAAATTTCAGGGCAAGAGAGAAATGTATGAGCAAAAATGGGTATTTAAGCAAATAGAGACCCTCAGCCTTCATCCAGGTAGTATAATCACCATGAGCAAGTGAGAGTAGAAAGGAAGTCCAACGATTATTGGAAAACATTGAGTTTGGTAACAAAATTGGCACACAAATTGTCAGGAAAACCATCACCATGATGTTTCTTAAGTACTCTAGACATACTGAATTAAGATCTATGAATAAGAACATGATATAGAAAGCACTGAGGAAAATTAGTAGCAAATAACTTGGAAGAAATCAAAACCAAAGATAGGAAAAATAGTTGGAACTTTTTGAAGAAGAGTATGATACAAATTTACCCTAAAGTGAGGAGGACTTGAAGCATCTGTTGCAGAAGATCAAAGACTACAGCTTTCAAGATGGATTTTGTCTCAACATCAAACAAATAAAATCTTCCCCACTAGGCAACATCATGGTAGATGTTTAAAAACTAAGTTGCATATTCCCTAAGATGCTTAGGTGTCAAACAATTATAGCCGTATTCAAGCAATGCATCTGAAGGCTGGACAGTGGCTAAGGTGACAGAAGAATCAATGTCTAAGAGTCGTGGTGATGGAGGAGTGTACTGAATAAACCATGAACTGCAAAGAGAACAAACAGGCCTATCCTGGAGAAACTGAAACCTGAGTGTTCCTTGAAGGAAAGGATGGTGAAGTTTTGCCACATATTTTTGGGCATGCTGTTAGGAGCTGAGAAAAAGATATACTATGAAAGATAGAAAGGCAGAATAAGAAGGAAAGACCCTCAAAGAGATGGACTAACTGATACTGATACAGTGACAGTATCAATGGGCTCAACTGTATCAGAGACGATGAGGATGGCACAGGACAGGGCAGGGTGCAGACCCATTGTTCAGAGGATCACTGGGAGTCCTACTCAACTTGACAACACCCAACAACAGACACTCAAAAAAATTAGGGAGATGGATTTAACTTTCTTACACATCTCGTAATATCAAGCAAGTAGTATACGAGATAGGAGACTACTAGAGGCCAGAAACAAAGGGAGACTAATAAACCAGACAGAGTAATGAACTGTGGCTGAAGTCACAGTTGCTCTTAAGTGTGTGTTTAGGTCAGGTCTAACAACACAGGTAGAAAGAAAACAGGATCTTCTATAAGGAATATAACCCCACTCTGAAAGAGAAGAATAGGGAAATAAGGGGAATATTCTCTCTCTCTCTCTGACTAGATTTTTGCTTCTGAAGAAGAAAAAGCATTTACAGAGCAAAATTAGGCCCATCTGTGAGTTTTGATTTGATAGAACTCTGTTGTCCCAAGGCAAGAAATGAAGTGGCTCCAATTGGCAACAAACGCAAATCCTCTCTCTGGAGATGCATATCCTTATTCTAGGCCTCACAGAATTTCCACAGATAAATACAGACTCACAGTGCAAAATTTACAGAACACATGAGAGAAAAACCTTCAAAAACAAGAGTTCAAAGGAACAACACTGTGGTGTTAGCCTAAAGGTTGGCTTTTTAGCCACTTAGCCTCTGGTCCCCAGCTACCTTAATTGGAGGCACATGGTCTTGTATAGTAGTATGGTCTTGCAAATGATCAACAGCTGTGGGACTAAGATAAGAGAAAGAGTGGGTCCCACACTGAGAAGCAAGATTTGAGGTGGGCAAGGCTGGTGGCGGCAAGACCCCAGTAGTGGAAAGACCGTGGCACTGCTGTGGACAAGTGGTGGCAAGGTGTGACCTGAAGCTTCTTGCATTTGTGCTGTCCACAGTTAAATATTTGGCCTTTCTTGTCAGATGTTTGAAGGGAAAGCTTACTTATAACTGCTCTGAGGCAAACCTTGCTGGATGGTTTGGTTATAATTACTCTGGGACAAACCCTGCGGGATGCTTTAAAAGTGACTGCTGAACTGAAACCAAAGCCTGGACTTATTGAGGAATTGTGCCTTGAAACTGTTAAGCTAATAATCCTTGACTTTTATTATGAAATATTCTTTGCCTTCCCCACTCACTTACCTAAGAGTACTGGAGGACACAATGAGAGTCAACATGGGGGTTAGCACTAGAGAGAATGGCTTTCAATAATCGTAATGGAAGAAACTCAGAGTTACCTCACACGAAAGAGACAGGGTTACAACTTTAGAAGACTAAACGTTTTAGTGACCATTCTTTTGTCACAAATAGCTGGCTACCAGATAAAACAAAAAATTGTCTCTGAAAACCACTGGAGCATCAGCTATGGGTCAGTTTCAACTAGATGGTACACAACAACAACAACAACAGCGAATGCACAGGTATAAGATTAGGTAATATCTTAAAGGGAAAAGTAAAAACAACCATAAAAGTAATTTAACATCTTCCTACCTTTAAAGTTCTCATGCAATAAGTTGATACAGTCAGTGAATAATTGCACTATACTCGAAGCCACTACAGTATCACTCTCCAACCAGGGGTAATGGCCTTGTTTGCTAGAGAGAAATAGACCATATGCTTAGAGGAGCAGGCATCCATCACCATTTAAATTATTTTAAGTTCTAGAGTCTAGGTTTGTTTTAGCTCTGGAAAATTCTGTATTTGTATCTCTAATATAATAATATAATTCAGACTACAACCTCAAAGACTGTAAATCCAGAGAGCTAAATGGTGGCTGGTAACATTAACCATGTATTTTATTCACTTTTTTATGCTGTTTTCTTCAATGCAATTATATTTCAAGAATAAGTAAAAAAAAAGTTATCAAATGAACATACTTTTATATCTAATTTATATTCTTTTTTTTTAGTTTATGAATTCTTAATCAAGTTAATTATTTTAATATATTAGCTATAAATTTATCTTCGTTAATAATTTCAAACAGTATGATATAATCTAGTTTCTACCAGCATCTATTTGTACTACAACTCAAAAAAAAATCATATGATTCCTGAGTTTATGTGTATTATTCTATTCATGGTTTTAAACAAAAGAACACATGTTCTTGTTGCTTTTAGATGCCATCAATCCTGATTCCAAATTCCATCTCACAAAATCCAGCCTCCCATATGATCTGTTCCGCATGTAGACTCTTAAAAGTATGAAGAAAGGGTGCATCCCTACCACATTCCTTTCCTGATTTTGAAACAGGCACTGTTTCTTTGCTATATTCTGACAATTGCTTTCTGATCTAAGTATAAATTTTGCATGAGTGCAGACAGGTGTTTTGATTTTCATTCTTCTCAATGTTAGCTGCAACCTATGGTGATACACACAGTCAAATACCTTTGCATAGTCAGTGGAACACAGATGGACATTCCTCTTGAGAACTTGGCAAAAAACAAGGCCCTAGGATTTGATGAACTACCAACTGACATATGTCAACAAATAGATGCTGCCCTGCGTGTGCTTACCATGTTGTGCCAGGAAATTTGGAGGCCAACTATCTGGAAAACTGACTGAAAGATATCTGTATTTATTCACATTCCAAAAAAAAGTTGATCCAACAGAGTGTGGAAATTATAGAACAAGATCACACACAAGCAAAATACTGCTGAAGATTATCCAAAAAACGACTGGAACAGTACTATATCAATAGAGAACTGCCAGAGTGTGAGCTGGGTTTAGAAGAAGCTGTGGCACTAGGAACATTGTAGCCAATGTCAGATGGATCTAGGCTTGGCCTCGTGGCCAGGAGGGATTGGTCCTTGGAGAAGGACATCATGCTCAGAAGGGTGGACGGACAGCGAAGGAGAGGAAGACCCAAGATGATATAGCTTGATATAGTAACTGGGGCGATGGGCGTTGGTGTGTTGAAGTTAGTAAGTCTGGCTCAGGGAAGGGTTCAGAGCTGCTGTACACAGGGTCGCTATACATCACAGGTCACTCAATGACACCTGGTGCATGAAACATTTGTGAGTTTACATCTCATCTTCTCCCTTGCAGATGGCCTGAACAATTATGTCCTCCTCTCTTGTCTTCTCACTTCCATGTAGGTCAGTTACAAACTCTAATTTATATTCTTAAAGATATCTCTTCTGTATCTTAGTTATAAAAAGAAAGCTTAGAGGTAATATCAAATTCATGTAACAAAAAGATCACCAAAAATCAAGGCAGGGGAGGGTGGAAGCAGAGGGATGAGGATGTGCAGGGAGATGGGGGCGGTTTATGATGGAGTTGTACAATTTGACGGGTGGGAGGTGAGGGAAATTGGAAGAATCTGTTCTGGAAAAGAATGTATTTGAATTTTGTAAATAAACTAGTGTCATTTTTTTTAAAAAATTAAGGCAGAAAAACAGCTGAAGAAAAAACATTTTATATGAACATATAAACTGGCAGCCCCTGCTGTGTTCAATAATCTATAATCCTCCTCCTGTCACTACTGCCAAGTCAGATCCACAGGTGAGCAACCCTCCAGCAGGTTTTCCAGGCCATACGTCACGTGGGAAGATACTGCACCACTTTCTTCAACGGATCAGCTGGTGGATTCGAACCATCAGAAAAGTGCAGCCATTGGGTTATCGCCACACTCCACACACTATGCTGTCAGAGCTCCCTAACAGAGCTATAGACACTGAAAAATCTCAAGGCTTGTGGGCTGTACCAAGGACCCAGAACTCCATAGGATTTCTTCTAAGATTCTTGGAGCTGAGCTCCAGGGCCAGTTCCTGCACTGACTGGCTATGAGACTTGAGAGAGTTTTCTGGGTCTTGGGGTGAAATGAATTCACACTTAGAAAAACACTTTTACAAAAACTGTGGGTTTTCTAAGCGCTGTTGAAATTTCTATAAAATTCTTGGCAAATTCAAAGACTCAACAAGACAAACATTGAATTTGGAAAGCTTTACATCTCGTAACTATTTTTTTAATTCATGAAATAATTCTTTCATTGAAATTTAAGGAGGGTAATTCCCACCTAATAACTTTGTAGTCAACTGCAAAAAAACAGCTGAGGTAGCAGGGGGAAATTAAGTTTGTCTCAATAATCAAAACCCAGTTGTTATATAAGAACACACACTTTTCTGAAATTAGTTACCTAAATTCCTTGTCTGTAAAAAACTGAAAATGAGTGTCTAGTTTTAGTCTAACTTTAGTATACAGACAAGAGCTTTGGCCTATACTACATTGATACTTCAGGTAGTAGCAAATGTCTTAGCTTTTAAATAAGAATTTTATAAATATTAAATACAGCCTACATGAAAAATTACATCTATGAGCTCAGCATTTCTACTAAAACACACAATCAGAACATTAAGAGTTTAAATTCCAAAGGAATTTGGATAGCTAGGTCGATTTACCTTTCACTGTCCTCTAGGACCAGGATCCATGGCTTAAAGAGCTGGACGATCACTGAATGCAGGCATCGTAGCACTAAAACAGGAAAATTTTGCAGGGTGCTCAGTTTTTGTCGGTATCACTGATAATATTCTATATAGAAGCTCTGTCTTTTATCTGTAGGCTCATAATCTTATGTTAATACACAAACAACATACTGTTTAGTGAACTGCGCTTTCGTTTGCTAGAATGGGATTTCTCTGAATTAGAGAATCTTTATTGTGATTCAGAGTCATCAAGACTGTAAGTACATTTTCCCCCCCCAAATAAATGCTTAAATATTGAGAGCCCTTTCCATAGACAAAGAAATAAAAGAAAGAGTTGAAGATGAAACCCGTATCTTTGGAATATATTTCACAAAGGAGGGGCAGAAATAAGCTATACTGGACAGAGCACAACAGAGCACACAGTATGTCAATTTAGGTATGACACATACATGGGCTCATACTCACGCTATAAATTTTCTTCCTCCTGACATTCAGGTATCTCGTTTGAGCACAGAGATTTAAATCTCTTAATGGGTTTATTCAAATATCTTCTCACGGCATGTCAGGACATCGAACTCCACTTTACGCTACATGAATATTACCTGTTTTGCTGCTGGCAGATGGGTCCTGGGCCAAGCAGGCCATTTCAGAGTCAATCAGTCTTTTCACAAGGTAGCCCAGCAGCATCTTCACGTGAGCCATGTAAGGGTTCCACTTTGAGAACAAGCCAAAGCTCTTAAAGTCCACGTTGGACAGCCGAAGCTTATAAAAAAAGTTTGAAAGCCACTGTATAGTCTCCATTACCTGGAAGACAACGGTAAGAATGATTCATGCTTATTGAACATCTACTTGGCGCAGAGCATGATAGAAGTTGATGGGGCCTATTGTTGACTATTTTTAAAAAGTATTGCAAAGCCTTATGTAGCGTATATGAAAAATAAGTCATTGGGTTTCAAACTCTTTCTAAAGCAGTGAAAGTATTATTACAACTAAGTCCCAAGTGGGTGTCTAGCAAATAAAATTGAGGCATTGCATGAAAACGCAATGGGAGGGAGAGCCAATGGCCTTGGAGTTGAGTCGTGTGGGCTTCACAGAGGAAATGTTCATACATGGGGAAGGTCTTAGGACTAATGGGTAAGAACTGGATATACATATAGTGTGAAATGCATGTGATCCAGGCAAAGGGGGAAGAAAAAGACCTGACTACAAACATGAGGACCTTAAAGATAATACACAAAAAAGCTGCTTTAATTTTAAAAGATAGTCAAGGAACTGGAGAAGAAATGCACAGACACTTCACAGAGGAGAACTTACACACCTGCTTGTCTGACAGGAGCCCATCTGGGCAGCTCTGCAGCACCGCGCTCTCTGCAGAGGCTGCCCCCTGCTGGCAGTCCGCGGGGCAGCAGCCCAGGGCTCGCAGCGTCACGTTCCAGCACTCGGGGCTCAGCAGCTGTTCGGCGGAGCCTGGGCAGGTACACAGAGAAAAGCCAAGTCGGAACCCTTCAATTCACTTTCAGCTTTAATTAAAAAAACGCACTAAAACCCGACGGAGGATTGGCTATGGAGCAGTTCTGACTCAACTGTATTCAACTGCAACAACTATATATATATTACATAAAATTATAACACATAAATATATAAGGTTTATCTATATAAAATTGCTGAAATGAAAAGACACATGAACTTTTAATTATTTTTATGTGTGTACTTGACATAGAATTAAACACAAATCAAATCCAAAAACAAATTTACAAGGACGACTGTGGTGAAGAAACCCAAGAAAAGAGGGCATTCACCTTCCCTTGTCTCTTGTAAGCCCACTTAAGGAGCTCTGGTAACCAAGGAGGTAAGGAACTGAGCTTCCAAACCAAACCAATCTCTTCCCAGAAGATCTCTAGCCTCTGGAAACCCCCTGGAAAATCAGCTAGGAGCTGCTTCCAACTCATCAACAATGAGAAATTTTGAGTGAGAGAGCTCTGGTGGGCATGTGATAAGAAGCTGGCTGCAATTCCAAAGGCACACAGTTCGAATCCACCTGCTGCTCTGCTGGGAGAAGGATGGACAATTTCCTCCCATGCAATTTACAGCCTCTTAAAGCCTGGCCACGTCAGTTGTGGGTTGGTTTCGACTTGAGGGCACACAACAACAAGAACTGTGAGTGCGCTGGAACCTAGGAAGGACATGCCACCTATCTGGCCGTAACTGGGGGGTGGCAAAGAGGCTAGAAGATAATGGCTGTACAGGTGTATAAGACAAAGAGAAAAGGGGGCAATGTGTGCAGACTAAAACTCAGGAGCTCAGACCCCTGGGAAGGAATCTCATGCTTATCCTTAAATCCAGCAAAAATATGATACAGCATAACAGACCATTTCAGATATTGCAAGCGTTTGGATCTTTTCCATAGAGCATTTTAAATGAGGATTATTTACTCTATCTCCAGCACTCATTGATTCTACAGTTGAGTGACCTCTGGAGGATAGTAGATATGGTAATAAAATCTCCACAGTGGTCTAGTTAACCACAACTAAAGCAGGGGACTTACTTTGCATCAGCAGCCGGAGAATGTCACTGTACTGATCAGGGAACTGGTAGAGAAGAAGGTACGTCCAGTGCTTACAGAAAAGATTAAATGGCATCAAAATATCTTCATCTGGTTCAAGGCCCCAGGCAATGAGGGCCAGATGAATGGATTCCAGAAGTCTGGTGCGGTCAGAGAGGGGAGGCTTAGTGGAGTTTAGCCATTGCTTAAGATCAAACTAAAGAAAAAGACAAGAAGCCATTTTATTCATGCTACAAAATTATCAGAAAGGAGAAATTTCATTTTAAAAAACAAAATGAATATACAAGAGTGTAAAAGTTAAATAAGTAACTGACAACATATGCCCCTAGCACTCTTAGCCCTGAGGAGAGAAACTGAGCATAGTTTTTCCTTAGCTATAAGGGGTGTTTTGGTCATGTACTATTACCAGCCATTCAATTCAATTCTGTTCCTCAATGGTGTGGACATCGGAAGTTATTGAATCAACTGTATCTGTGTACAGTACATTTTCTCTAAAAGTTTAAATCTGAACTTTGTGCTTTTCCTTCACTGGTCACTGTGCTACAAACAAGCAGAATGGACTCATTGTGATGCCAATGTTTCTGAGCCTCCACATTACCTATTTCAGCTGGTAAAATATCCAGCATATTGACTCCCAAACTATAAAATACCTTCTTCCTCATTTACTACTGACTAAAATCAGCCTCCAGGCCCTCAAACATGCCCAGGTTTCACTGGCTCATAGCTAAGACTATGAAGCCTTCATCTAGTTATAAATAAACTCACTGCCTTGGTCTACAAAGGGTAACACTCGACTCAGAACACAAAGAAAGACAGCTTGCTTAGATTCAGCTTGACCTAAATGAATAGGAGAGACTCTGGCATGTTCATCTAGTTCATCTAGTTGGGCACAAATTCAGAATAAATTATTCTTAGTAATTTATAATAAATTATAAGGGACATAAATTACTAATCATATTTTCAAAAGAGAACAAGTTTTGTCTTCTTTTTCCTAAATTGAAATTGTCAAGAGCTTTGTTTTTATTGATTATTTTATTATTTTTTGTGTGTCTACCATCAAATCAGATCTGACTGGTACTGAAGATTGCCCCTCCTTCTCCAGCAGAGCATCTGGTGGATTTGAACTGTGCAGCTCTGGGATTAGAGCTCTGCTTCCTACCACTAGGCCACCAGAGCTCCTTTGTCTTTTATTATTATTATTATTATTATTATTATTATTATTATTAATGTCAATGAACATTTACAGAGACTCTGGATTTCCATTCATTCATTGTTCCATTTTTCTCCCTGGCCACCCCTCCCCCTCATTAGCTCTTCTCACTGAAAAGTAAAAGAAAAATGCTTTCATTCGTATACAGTGTCTTCTTTTTTTAAGGTAGGTCCTCTTTACATGAAATATTATTATATAGCAAAACCAAGTAAAGTCCCTATCAGAGGAAGCTATGGCATCAAAACTGGCACAAACAGGAAAAGGCCAGTTTGCCTGTGCCCGACCTGGAGGCAGGCCGCCAGGGCTTTCCATCCTAGTGCGGGAAACCACAGTCCTTTCTCCAGCTGTGTGCGACCATCAGGCTGGATCACCTCACCTTGGTGAGCAGCATGAAAATCAGATCGCTGTTGTCCTCGCTCAGGCACCTGACCACTTTCTCATAAAGCTGTATGAACTCTTCGGGCGAAGCGTTGGGAGTGAAGAAAGGAGACAAAAGCGAGCAGAGTCTTCTGTTCTTCAGAATGGTCAGGAGCACTTTCTTGCATTCTGATTTAGTGCCACTGATAAACACCTTCAAAGAACAAGGAAATGTCAGCAACTTCTTTTTTATTTAAGCAACCAAGTGGCATGATCTGGAGTGGGTTGCGTGGCTTGCCATGATTACTATGATACATGATCAATATCAAAGTTGGATGAGAGGAGTCTAACCAGCAACATGGGACCCCAGAGCACTAAGCGACATTTCACTCTCTTACATCTTAGAGGATAACTGGGTCAAAACGGGCTTGACGGTACCTAAAAGTAACACTATACACATATACACATAAATGAGTTCATTTATGTGCCTTTATAAGTCTAGGTACACATGGGTGTGTGTAAGGGAGTGCTGGTGGTCTAGTGGTAAGGAGTTGAGTCACCAGCTACTCTGCAGGAGAAAGAGAAACAACCTCTTCCCATATGATTTACTCCCTCTGAAAACTTATTTGAGGGTGAGTTATGAGTCAGTTTCAACTTGATGGCACCTAACAAAACAGCAGCAACACACATTTATTATCTATTTATGTACATGTGTCTAAATATCTAGATACAGACATGTATCTATGTTTACAGACAAAGCTATAATTAAATGTTTGCTGAGTAAACCATTTCTCTAGGGAGTTAGGATTGGGCAATGCTTTCTTTTTTGTATCAACAGTTGTGCTTATAATAAACATGTATCTGTAATAAGCAGGGAAAAGAAAAGGATTTTGAAAAAAAAAATACCTATTTTGAAAAAAAACAGATCATGTGTATCTATTATAGTACTTGTATATCATTATCTTTTAAGCATCCAATAAAAAAATTTGCATTCAATTGAATTTGGGTAAGAATTTGAGAACATTTTTCTAACAAGTGGCTTTCCTTTCTTTTACTTCACGTTTTGAAAACCTGAAAAAACCCACAGCAGTGGTAAGTTGGCCCAGTCAGAGGCAGTCTCGGCTCCGGTGCCGACACTGGTCTCCAGGCTCCTCACTTCATCCTTCAGCGTTCCCATTTCCTTGTCTCTTAAAGACAAGGCATCTTAAATGGGAATGGTCTCAACCACACAGAGGTTAAACTAGTGAGTTGGAAAGCATTCTCACCCATTGCCATCAAGTCTATGCCAAACTCACATCAACCCTCTATTGGGTTTAGAAGCTGTAATCACCAAGGGGACTGTTCATTTTTCTCCCACAAATCAGATGGTGGATCCATGACACTGACATGTCTTTTTTCTTTTTTTCTTTTAATTTTATTATTTTGTGTGTGTGTACCGTCAAATCAGATCTGACTGGTACAGGAGGAGATTGTCCCTCCTTCTCCGGCAGAGCATCTGGTGGATTCGAACCGTGTTCCTCTGGGATTGCAGTGCAGCTTCTTGCCACTAGGCCACCAGAGCTCCCTGACACTGACATTTCTGTTCGTAGTACAACTTGTAACACACTATGAGGCCAGAATTTTTTTTAATTAAATTTTTTTTTATTTTATTTATTTTTTGTGTGTGTACTGTCAAATCGGGTCTGAATGGTACAGGAGGAGATTGCCCCTCCTTCTCCAGCAGAACATCTGGTGGATTCGAACCATGTACCTCTGGGAGTGCAGTACAGCTTCCTGCCACTAGGCCACCAAAGCTCCCTAAGGCCAGAATAGTTTATGAACGATAAGCAACAAAGCTTCATTGTTATTTTCACATATACAGGAGCCAAAAATCCAAAGTAACTGCTGAATCCCCAGCGTAAGTCTAAAGTCAAAACTTTGGCGAGCTAAGATGATACTCTAGGAGCGCAATGCATTACCTCTGAATAATGCCTAAAAACAGAGAACCACCTTACCTGTCCCAAGATCTCCAGGCAAGATGTAAAGAACTGTCTGCTCGGAGGATGCCGCTGCGTCTCATCGCTGACATGATCCACAACGGCAAAGAAGAGGCTGATGCCAACTTTCTGAATGGCGGGAGTAGGCTGTAGCTTGTAGGCGTTCACGAGGGCCCTGTGGGGGGACAGGAGGAAGATTGTTGCGCATTTCAACTCACAAGCGTTTCCCTATACACCCTACAAAGATGCACTGGCAATATGCGTAAGAGACCTCAAAATCCTATACGGATGTTACTTTAGAATGATTTCATGTGGCAAGTGTACGTATTCCATAATAGTAATGATTTCAAGCTGTCCTAGGGGAAGGGAAAATGCATCGCGTATACTGCCGTTATTGTTATTGTTACTGTGTACCGTGTCAAGTCAAAACCGATCCATAGCTGACCCTCCAGTGGGCTTTCAGAGGCAGTTAAAGGCAAAGGAGTAGACCGCCCATCCTTCTCCCAGGACGTAGTTGGTGGATCCAAACTGCATGCCTTCGGATTGCAGTACAGCGTCTTACCACTATTATCCTTTGTTAAACTCTCAAATTTTGCACATAATTATAATTTGTTCTTTTATTTCATGCATATATTATAGAATATATTTTTATTTACATATTTTTATACAATTATTTGTAACCATTGTTTCACTCATGTACATTTTATTTTATACAATCAGGTCTATATATTGTGTTTTATTATTGAATGTGTTTTATATATTATTGAATATACATTTTTAAAAACAAGAAGACTCATCTCTCTGAACTCTATAATCTGAAATACTGACTGAAATTGAAGAAAAAGATTTTTGTAGAAAATGAGACTCTAGAGGGAAGAAAATGTCCTTTTTCATTCTCATACTCAACTTCTTTTCCCGGTAAAACAAATACCAGCTTTTTATTGATTTCATGTTCTTTCTTTTCAGGACCCTCAGTCAAACCTACAAAAGGAAGAATGCCCTCCCCTCGTTGCCCCAATATACGGAGTGAAGGAGCAGCTGGTACCAGAACATGGAGTCAAGTTTAAAGAGAATTCAGTCCCTCCTCCCTCTCCTGAGTCCTGGGGCTTCAGGAAGAAAGCAGATGGCAACAGTAAGCCAGATTCTTCCTGAGAAAACCACAATGGCCAAACTCAAGTTAGCAACTATACCCGAGAGCTGTAATCCCGGAGTCTTTCTGCTCCACACTTCGCCCTGTAAGCTGATGGCGATGACGGGGCAGATGCGACTCTGATCCAGAACACAGGCACAAAATCTCCCCGTGACTGTGAGTTCGCAACTCAGGGGTCAGCAAACTTTCTAACATCAAGAGCCAGAAGTCCTAAAGTCCCAGCCACTGCAGCATAAAAGCGGCCATGTTGCTATGATGTGCCCACACATAGTGAAACACAGCTTGGTCTAATGCCTTCTACGCAATCTTGCTAAATTTAAGCCCAAAAGCAGCCACAGAAGATATATAAACTGCTGAGTACCAAAAAAATTTTCACTTACAAAAGTGGATGAAAGGCTTGATTGGGCTTCAAGGCAGTAGCTTGCTGTACTAATTCTGTATGATTTTGGGGATGTACTAATCTTGTACGTTTTTGTTCTCCCTTTGGTATTTTGGGGGGATGCAGCTACATGGACAATTACTATGACAACAAAATAGCATTATTAATTTGCAATGCTGCCAAAACTTACGTAATCAAGTTTTCCGCGTGCACAGCAGCTTCCACAACGTGAAGTGACGGAGGCTTAGCAGCTTCAGCCTGCAAAAGCTTCACTTCTTTTCGCAAAGCATAGATCTGTTGGCTTACTGCTTCGTTCTTATACATACCTTCGAACTAAAACAAAAAAATTAAAAGTCCTCAACAACTGACTATGCATTTTTAAAAAAAGAATATTATTATCGTGTAGCTCAAAATACTCCACTGAACTCCAAGGGGATGTAAAAGATTTGTTACAAAACCATTCAAGAATCTTGGATTTATCATAGAGACACAAGCTGAAATTATTGTTGCTCTTAAGTGCTGTCAATTCTGAACCAACCCATAGCTGACCCTCCAGTGGGTTTTAAGAGTCAGTAATCACACAGGAAGACACTGCCAGTCCTTCTTCCATAAACTTAAGCAGAATTTTATTATGAAAATGTCAAGGCATATAAACACAGACACATATATATCTTTTATACTGATTTGATCCTGAGTTAGTTCATCATGAATTCAACATCTTTTTGTAGAAAAGATGTTTTTTACACTTTGACTCCTGAAATACTCATCAAAAACAGGTTCAGCATCTTCCATCACTAAGGTATTCTTTTTTTTTTAAATATTTTAGTTTTTCTCTTCTTCTTTTTTTTAATATTTTCGTTTTCCATCACTAAGGTATTCTGAGTTGGTGTTTTCTTTTGGTTTTTGGAGGATTTTTTTGTGGGCGCGGGATGAGGAGGACCAGACAGATGAGGCAGGCCCTCTGTGAATCAGGCCTCTCCAGAGCCCCAGCAGCACATACAATTCAACTCGAAGCGCTTGGGCTGCACGTCTCTGCTAAGCCCCGCATGACAGGATATCACAACAGAGGCTGCTGACAAGACGTGTGCCATTTTGAAAGGAAGGAAAGATATAAACTCAGAAAGCAAACAATAAAACATGGGAAAGCATCCAAATTGGCTGTGTGTCTAGGAAAAAGTAATTGGTGAGTTCAGTGGTTCCAAAACGCTGGTCTTTGATGAAAGGAGATGATGTTTGGACCCAGGATTTAACAGAAAGACAGACCAATGTTAACAGGAGTCAGGGTGGAAGGGAGTGCAGACAGAAGGAAGGCAAGGAGGGGCCCACCAGTGGGATGCTGTCAGCTGGTGAAGCTTTTAGACTGAGGATGTCAGGGAACTTATCCTGCGGAAGTCTTTAATACCAAGCTTAGGAGACTGAACCTACCCTGCAGACATGGTGAAGGTTAGGAAACAGGCTACAGAGCCTACATTCTTCACAAAGGATCTTCACTTGTACAAGTGACCAAGAGAACACAAAGCTTCCATTTTCTGCACTTGCTCAAAATTCGGTTCCTGGTGTGACAATTACAGGTGTATTTTCTTTATAAATAATGCACATACTTAATTCCCATGTTACTAGAACTACAGCCCTTGCGTCCCTGTCAGGATGCGATATTATACCATATCTAATAATAATACCATGTCAGATATTATACCGTATCTAAATCTCCTGAAGGGCGCGGTCCGTTTCTTGGACTTTACCCAGAAGCCCAGTACAGCACCACCTGGCTGGAAGTCCTGCTCCCACTCTGTGGGCTCCTGGTCACTTTCTGCTAGAAAAATCACGAAGTTCGTGTTGAAGATAGTCACAATATTGCTGTCTTTTTGCTTTTTGTGCCTAAAACTTTATCAACGTCCATTACAGGTTGGGTCAGTGATTGGCTAGTCAGGTGCCTCTGACCAACCTAGAGAGAATCACCAACAAGGGAAAGAGAACGTAGAAGAGAAACAGTGTGGATGCAGTAAAGAACGAGAGGAAAAGAAAAGCTCATTCGGCTGAGAAATACAACAGCCGAGATAGCAATGGGACCTGCGCTTCACACTGACCTCCACACATTCTAGAAACTCGGAACACTGAAGAAGAAAGCTAGCTAGTTTTGACACTAAACTAGCCTAAATTTAGCCTTCTGGTCTCCACAGTCCTGGTCCTTGTTTCCCATCATTGTTGAAAGCTTTCTTTTCTTGCTGGGATGGAGGTGAGAGATTGAGTAATTGCTGGCTCATAATGACAAGAAGTCGCAGACAATAGAACAAAGCAGTGTGGTGGAAGCCCCTCCAGCTGAGTCATGTAAAGGAGACAAAGAAATTGAAAAGTTAAGACAAACCAAGTCCTTCAGCAAGTTCTTACAACTGCATTAGGACCTCGGTGGGTCTTTTCCATCTTTTATTTCTAGAAATGAACAACTTTTTCACATGCTAATAAATCAACCCTGGGTACAGAAAACATGCCCCAAAATACCAAAGTCCAACAAAAGGGACTCTATCATAAATCACCCCATTTCCTCAGGGAATATCACTGAATCATTAGAAACTTCTATTAGGAGGGGAGACCACAGAAGAAGCACGTCTTATTACCCATAAAATATATTTGCCTTTTGTGTGCCCCAAACAAGCTATACAGAGTTCAAACATGTGCAGATAGGTGGAAATTTCCAGAATTTTCCTTCCTCAAAAAAGTCCATTAAACAATACTTAATAGAATCCCAAAACCACATAAATGAGCCATTAAAAATAAAATCATTTGGTGTTCCAACCCAACATTCAACCTGGAGCCTAGATTCTCTAATCACTAAGAAGGTAATTCTAACACACAAATTCAGACAGAAGACATTAATATTAAATGAAATTTTACTATCAGCGCAGCTAATTCACAATTATGCTGCTAGTTTGCTAAAGCACAATGTGGGGAATGTGGCCTAGAGAAAGCATGAGTCTTGAATTTAAATGGACACAGATTAAAGGTTCGATTGGTCCACTCAGTGAGTTTCCTTGCTTTGTGGAATCTATGTCTTCATCTTCATTCAGTAATGATTAAGTGAGATAATGAACAAAAAAAAGTACCTTGCCTGATAGCTAAGATACAAGAGAGCTCAAGCATTTGACAAGATGTACACTCAACATTCTTCTAAGTAGTACAGCACTGGTCTGTCCATTTGCTGTACAGAGGTAACTCATGGTTGCTGTGATGCTAAACACTGTGATGTGTCAAATGTGATAATGATTACCCATGTGGACAGTGTTCGGTGGAGCTTCCCAATTAAAACAAGCTTGGAAGCAGGAGTGGTATCCACTTCTGAAATAGCCTGCATATGGAAGCTATGAACTTAAAGAAACAATGGAAGTTATACATGTTCAGGACTTTCATTCATAGGGTCGCTATGAGTCATCTAGGACTTGACTGTACTTAACAACAACACACTCAACAGGCTCAGAAAGAAAATGATGTGCTGCAGTACCATGTTCCTCCCCAAGACCAAATGTCTGAGAGACATCAATATTGAAGTAAAAAGATGAGTTGGAGAGTGGGTGGTTATTTAAGTTAGATTTGCTACAGAAATCATTACACTGAGGAAAGAGTCCACACAAAGAATGAAAGATGATTTCTAGCAGTAAAAAAAGTTATGGCTTCCAAGACACCTTTCACATTCAAAATCCTTGAAAGTGGTTCAAATCAGGGTGCCTTCTTGTGAAAAGGATCAATCTTCAGACATCCACTAGAAGGTACTGTCATGCCAGATAACAGTGCCGAGAACACAAACATGAAAACAGCCAAGTCCTTTACATCACGTATGACAGCAGATGAAATCACAAGAAAGAAAAGGAGCTGTCACATTACTCACGTGTGATGTGCAGCTAGCTTTCACTTCAAAGAGTGTTATAGAAAAAAAAGAGTGTTATAGGTCACCTATCATGTGTGGAACCATACTAGATGGATATGTATGCAGATAAAGCCGCCTAGTGCTCCATACAGACTGTTGCTGTGTTACCATTGAGTCAGAACCAACGTATGCAACAGCTCCCCACAGACTAAAAAACAGCTGCAATTTCAGATCTGAAACTTCCGGAGAAAATGATGGGCTACAGAAACAGAGCAGAAGTTATCATACAAAGTAAATGAAGGTTGATGCTTCAAGGGTCAAAAGAGCTACTTCGGCTATGAGTCCTCCAGAAAGAAAAAAAAATTAAATACATTTCATGGGCTTCACTGACCCCATGAAAACCACTCACAGTCCTCAGGCTAAGAGCTCTTATCCAGAGGTGGTAGGTGATGTCAACTGAAGAAGGTGGTCAAAATACAACCCTAAATACAACTGGCCATCTGAGAATTGTTGTTGTTGTTGTTATGTGCCGTCGAGTCGCCTGGGGCTCATAGTGATCCTACGGAGAAGAGCCCTAAACTCTTCTCTATCCTGTGCCAACCTCACTGTCTCCAACACACCTACTCCCATTACTCAACCACTGAATCGATCCATCTCATCGAGGGTCTTCCTCTCTTAAGCTGTCCCTCCACTCTCCCAAACATGATGTCCCTCTCCAAGGACTGGTCTTTCCTTGCGACATGCCCAAAGTATGTTAGACGAAGCTTCAGAATTCTTGCCTCCAAGGAGCAGAGCCCAGTTTCACCCTTTTCAGGTCAAACTTGTTCGTTCTCCTAGCAGTCCATGGTATATTCAACACTCTTCTCCAGTATCACAGCTCAAAGGCATCAATTCTCTTTCTATGATCCCCAGTCACTGTCCAGGTCTCCAACACATAGTACACAACTGCAAAGACTATGGCCTGGATCAGGCACACCTTACTCTCCAGCCTGACATTGTTGCTCTTCAGTACTCTGGAGAGGTCCCTGACAGCTGACTTTCCCAAAGCAATTAGTCTCTTGGTTTCCTGGCTGCTGGTACCAAGAGTGTTGACTGTGGAGCCAAGCAAACTAAAACTGTTAACTATCTCAATCTCTTCATCATCGCTAATGATGATGCCAATTGGCCCAGTGGTGAGAATCTTTGTTTTCTTGATGTTGACCCTCAATCTATATTGAAGACTGCAGTCCTTGACCTTCTGTAGCAAGAGCCTCAGGTTCTCCTCAGTTTCAGCAAGCAGGATAGTGTCATCTGCATAAAGCTGGTTGTTGATGAATCTTCCACCAATACTGATCGTCTCGGATGATCCATTCTGCATACAGATTGAAAAGGTATGGAGATAGAATACATTCCTGGCAGATACCCTTCCCGATTTTGAACCATGCAGTGTCTACTTGCTCTGTTCTGATGACTGCCTCTTGGTTCAAGTATAGGTTTCACATAAGCACAATCAAATGTTCTGGGATTCCCATTCTTCTCAGAGTCAGCCACAGCTTGTTGTGGTCCACAAAGTCAAACCTTTGCATAGTCAGAACACAGACAGACATTCTTCTGGTCCTCTCTGCTTTCTGCCAAGATCCATCTAACATTAGCTATAATATCCCTAGTACCATGACCTTTTCTAAACCCAGCCTGCACACCTGGCAGTTCTCTGTTGACGTGTTGCTCCAGTCGTTTTTGGATAATTTTCAGCAGAATTTTGCTTGCATGTGATATTGTTCGATAATTCCCGTACTCTTTCAGGTCACCTTTGTTTGGAATGGGAACAAACATCAATCTCTTCAAGCCAGTTGGCCAGGTGGTTGTCCTCCAGATTTCTTGGCACAACTTAGTGAGCACATCCAGGGCAGTGTATGTTTGTTGAAATATGTCAATTGGTATGCCGTCAACTCCTGGAGCCTTGTTTGAGCAACCTGAACTTCCTCCTTCATCACCATAGACTCTTGCTCATACATTATTTCATGAAATTCTTCTGTGTCAGCCAATTCCTTCTGGTACAGTGACTCTGTATACTTCTTCCATCTTCTTTTAATGCTTCTTGGATCATTTAACACTCTGCACAAAGCATCTTGAAGTATTGCCACTCATGGCTTGAATTTGTTTTTCCATTCCTTCAGCTTAAGAAATGCTGAGTGAGTTTGGCCCTGTTGATTTTCTGACTCTAGTTTTTGCACATTTCATTATAGTATCTTGCTTTGTCATCCTGAGCTGCCCTTTTGAAATTTTTTGTTCAGCTCTTTAATGTCTTGATTTCTTCCTTTAGCTTTGGCTTCTCTGCGCTCTAATGCAATATTCAGTCTCATCTGACATCCCTCTTGGTCTTTTCTTCCTCTCCAGCCTTTGTAATGATCTTTTGCATACCTCATGAACGATATTCTTGATATCCTCCCACAGCCCATTTGGTCTACGCTCATTCGTATGGAACAGTCAAGATTTCATGAAGTTCAGTGTCACTAAATGTTGAAATGAACCTGCATTTTCACTGATTGACTGAGAGATGCTGTCTGTACTGAGGAATTGTGTCCGGATGTTAGTCTGTAGTGGGGCTACAATAATCATAGACTTTCACTATGTGATATCTTTTGTCTCCCCCACCTTCAACCTATTTCCCTAATAAACCCCACAATTGTGAGTAAAGTCTGCATCATTCTGCAACAAACATTAGACTCAAAAATTCCTAGAGATAGGTGCAGGAGCATGGGGGTGGCATGTCTTACACGTGGCTATTTGTTTGGTACCATGGATGTTGTTAATGGGGATAGTTCTCCTTTATGCAGCATGTAAGTCAGGCTCAGCCACCCTTATGTTGTATCTGCTCCTTTTACAGGAAAGAAAGGACAAATATTTAGGTGAGGCTGTAACAACAAAATCTTAAGGCAGAGTCACGGAAATCCTTCTTATCATAAAACATACCTACAACATCCAAAATTACACTGATGATATTTTTTAGGAAAGCAAGCTTTCTAAATACACAATTAAGAAAGCAAAAGATTACAGGTTAGGTTTTCCATTCTTAAGATATTTCTTTTCTCTGAAAAAGAAGAGGCAAGTCACTGGTATGCTTGGGGCTGAAGCTCCTGGGTCTGCCTGGTGGGATTTTCCACGGCAAGCCCCTGGGAGTCAACAGGAGGTCAGGCTACACAGCCTGCCCATGGATTGAGCAGCAAATATTTAAAGCTCTTCCCAGAGTAACAGCCAGAATTGTAAAAACATTTCTTTGTACTTGCCTCACAAGTCACTTTTAAAAATGCATTTTAAGAGAATTCCCTTCTTTATATAGAATTAGCAACTTGGAAAAGAAAAGCAATGGAAAAATACTGTGCTGCAATGCAGAGACTGGTAGCCAGCCATCCCTTATTCATGATAAAGAAGCCTGATGGCCCAGTGGTTAAAGCACTCTGCTGCTAACTAGAAAGTGGGAGGTTTGAAACCACCAGCCACATATTCCTCAGGAGAAAAAGTAGCAGTGTGCTTCTATAAAGATTTACAGCCTTGGAAACCCTAGGCGTAGTTCTGCTCCGGCCTCCAGCGTTGCTATAGGCTTGAGTCTACTCAGTGACCTGAGTTTTTTGTTGGTTTTTATTATGACCAAATACATTTTCAGATTTTTTTGCTTCCAACCTCAGTTCTATCATAAAATTGGCAAATTCTTTTTCCAGCTTTATTACTTTCCCAAGTAATCTTTTCTAAAAGCCTCTACTTTGATTTTACTGAAGAAGTAGCAACTGAAGAAGAAAAAAACCAATATTCCTAAGGAAAATAACTTTATAAAGCATTTGGCACATGATATTATCTGTATTTTAGAGTGTGGCATGCCCACAATAAAATACGGGAAAACAGGATGGATTCATGCTGACTTTTAAGTTCAACTCTTTAATGATGTTGGAAAATGTGGAAATAAATTTTGAGGGTAATTAAAAATATAAGAAGTATAAAGAGATTATATTTCAGAAGACATTTTACAGAATGCAATCCATCCAAGGAGAGCACTGAATCCACCTGAACAGTTAAAATGTGAATTAGGGGGGAAAAGGCGTGTGTCAGGGAATAAGACAAATACTTGAAAGACAACGAAGAGCAAGTAAAACAGAATCTCCTCTAGTTCAAAAAGCTAACAAAAATGGGGCTTTTCCCCCCTGTACAATGCAGTCAGCAGCAGGGAAGAGTCATCCCCAGGCGGCTCTTTTCCGCTCAGAACACAACGTCCATTCATTCAGGGGATGAGGAAAGGGCAGTGATGACGGCCTCAGCCTGGCTGGGATCACATGGCTGTGTCATCTTTAGCATAAAACCCAATCTCTCCAAGCTTCTATTTCTTTTCTTGGCTGGAAAAGAAGATAACAATAATGCCCACCTCATAAGACTGTTGTGAAGATAAAACTGAGCTCATGTTCATAGGGTTGCTATACATCAAGGCAACTCAATGGCACATAACATACTGTGACAGGTCTGGAAGCAGAAGTGGCATCCACTTCCTGAATAACATGCCTCTGGAAACTCTATGAATTTTGATAAATGTTGCTAGTTGTAAAGGGGCTTCAGGCCTTTTGTTCATAGGGTGGCTATGAATCATGCTTGACTCGAAGGCAACCAACAACAATTACCACAGTTTCAACTCGTGTCTGTATTTCTAGCTCAAGGTAAGTAATGGGCAAGTGAATTTTTTTTTTATTTAATTTAATTTTATTTTATTATTTTTGTGTGCATGTACCGTCAAATCAGATCTGACTGGTACAGGAGGAGATTGTCCCTCCTTCCCAGGCAGAGCATCTGGTGGATTCGAACCGTTTGCCTCTGGGATTGTAGCTGCAGCTCCTTGCCACTAGGCCACCAGAGCTCCCCTGGGCAAGTGAATTTTTAATCAGCTTGTTGCACTTCTGCTTTCATCCCTTGGAAGCTGTCTCTAGCTGATTCTGATTCCACGGGTCCTCTCATGTTCTTCTGCAGCAGTTCCTCACAGTCTACAACCTACAGCCAGAACTCTCTAATACTTAGAGCCCCAATTCCCACCACACTCCTGAAAAGAACTATCAATGTCCTGATCTACACTCTGGCCTCATCAGAGACTCCACAGCACCTCACTACAGCTGGCCTTGACCCCGAGATGACATCAGATGGCTCTATTCCCACATCCCTGGTAACTGAATCCAAACTACCATCATTAAAATCTTCAAAGGATTGGGTTAAGCCTCGCTACAAATGTTCTCAATGATTCTGCTCTCCTCTGAATTCTTAGTTAGCCAAGCGTCTGTAGGGCTCAACTGACACCTGTGGAAGTGTGGGATTCTCCAGATGTGTCTTCACTCTCCAGAAAGAAAAAAAAAGAAATGTTTTGGGACCTGGATCATGTTTCATAGCTCTCTCAATCTTCCTCCAATCGTTCTAACAGTCAACTACTAGAGATCTGTACCCATTAAGATTACAGCTTAGAAAAGCCTACTGGCAGTTGAACTCTGTCATACAAAATTGTGATGAGTCAAAACGGAATCAACTGCATACAGTTAACACGGACAAACTGTAAGACACGTACCTGAACTGTCACAACTGCGGCTCCCTGGCATTTCTTACCGCCACTGCCCCTACACTCCAAGTGCAGTGTGGTCTGTTCTTCTCGGTTAACATACTGCTTGGGCATTGTGTCCAACAGCTCACTGTCCAGGGCAACCTGCTGAGATTCCCGAAGAGCTGCAGTTCTGAAAAACACCATCAGGAGGTGTAATACGCGCGCGAGCACACACACACACACTCAGGAAAGGTTATGTAATAACCAAGGGATAAAGGCATCCTGCCACCTCATTACCCTCAATACTTATAGCACAGCAAAACAGGGATTTCAAAGCAACACAGGTGTGTATATGTGCTAGGACTCGCCCAATTCTCCCCCTGTGAATCAGGTTAAGAAAGGAAGAATAAGTCTTATTTAAAAAGTGGGATACTTTTTGAGCCAGTGACGTGTTCCATTAATAATAAATGGATCCTTAAATACAAAAGAAATGAGAATACATCCTACTGCGATTTCTTACTTAGGTAATACCAGTGACAGAGTAGGTATTAGCAACACGAACTGTTATGGTAATTCTGTTCATGGCGGGTCCCAGTGCATAATAACTGCATTTATTGTTGCAAGGTACATACACACAATAAATGCATCAACGAAAAATAGCATAAAAAGACCAGGCTAAAAAGCAATTGATTCACATGGGATTTACAAAGATCAATGCCTAATGTCATTTACTGTTAATAAAATGGATCCCATATAAGTTCCTCCTCACAATAAAAACCAGCGGCAGTTAATTTAATCATCATTTATGGGAGCTTGCCAAACCGTGATCAAGAATCTCCAATCTCTAACAGAGTAAGACTTTACAGAGGAAAACCCTGACCCCGGAAAGTACATTTCATTTGGCATGTTTTTATCATCATCTCTCCATTAGCAGAAGGTCTGTCTCCTCAGCAAAAGCCAGGAGAAAAACTTAGCATTGATGACAGTGTCCAGAAAATAGGTGAACCTTTGAGCCGATGAGAATATCACAAGCCACTTAACCGAGTGTAATGCATGGTCTGGTCGGCTTATCCTAATGAGGAGGCCTGATTCTAGGGACGAACTCAAGGCTGGCCAGGCATCCAGCACGAGGCCTGGGCCTCACGGTCCCCTGGCCCTCACCTGGCCTGCTGCTGCAGCAGATCGAGGTCCACACGTATGAGCTGGGTGGCGTCATTCTGGTTCAGCAGCGTGACTAAGGGGATCACAGGCACTGGCGGCTTCACCGGGTGCAGAACTAGCGGTGGATGGGGAGCCTCATATTTCTGCAAATTGCTTAAAACTCTCTCTTTAGCTGAAAGAAGGGTCAAGTCATAGTTAGTAACAGGCACAAACAGGTAGTAACATCCAAAGGGTTGCAAAAAGCCTGGACTATTGTTTTCTTAAAGCCCATGGGGAAAAAAAACCTCACAAAACCCCACACTGCAGACTTACAGAAGAGCTGATTAAACTGCAAGAGACACAAATGAATAAAACCATTCTCCTCCATTTTCTAGCATTTAGAGTTAGAGTTAAAGCATTACCTGCAAAACCAGCTCAAACAGCTGCTTTGTTGTATACTGAGTAGGCGACAGAGAAGTCCAGCGGCGGTGAACTGAACAAGTTAATCTGTAAAACCTCCAGGCTAACTCTTAGGTTTCACCCATGCATCCCATTAGATAAGTTCCTTTATTACACACATGTGGGGTTGTTGTTGTTGTTAATGTGCCGTCGAGTGGCTTGCGACTCATAGCGACCCTATGTACAACAGCCCTAAACTCTGCTCTGTCCTGTGCCAATCACACTGTCTCTGACACTCCCATCCCGATTATCCCAGTCATTGAATCAATCCACCTCATAGAGGGTCTTCCCCTCCTGCGCCGTCCCTCCACCCTCCCAAGCATGACATCCTTCTCTAAGGACCAGTCTCTCCTCACAACATGTCCAAAGTATGTTAGACGGAGCCTCAGAATCCTTGCCTCCAAGGAGCCACCCAGTTTAACCCTTTCCAGGACAAATCTGTTTGTTTTCCTAGCAGTCCATGGTATTCTCAATACTCTTCTCCAGCACCACAGCTCAAAGGCATCAATTCTCCTTCTATCCTCCTTGGTCATTGTCCAACCCTCTGATGCATAACAAGTAGATTGCAAAGACCGTGATAAAGGTATCCTCTCAACAGATGTAGGACCTGCTTCATTTACATTTTCACCTCACATCGACTTATCTTAGAGAATACATATAGTGTGTTCTGGTGTGCCCACCTGTGGCATTCAGCAAGAAGACCCCGCCTGAAGAGATACTTCTTGTTTTTCCTCCTCCCCATGTCTGTGAATCTCCTGTGTCTCACACGACTAGCTTAGGGACCCACCTCAAAGACAGTCGAAAAGCAAGCAGTATGATGAGTCCTGCTTTTTAGTACACTGATAAGAAATGAAACTTTTTATACTGTAAAGTGTATAAATTTCCAGAGGAGCTAGCCATTTGGGGTCTTGGAAAACACTATCCTGCTGCTGGAGGTTCCAATTTTTTTTTCCTCTTTACCTAGTTGTCTCTCTTTTCTCATAACGTGTGGACGTGAACTACTTTTGTGGGCCTGTTGCAACTTCAGCCATTTCTGGGGTTCCCCCACCCCTCCCCACAGCAAAGGCATTTATGTTCTCTATTTTTCTCATTACAACTGAGTTGGAACCATTCCATATCAAGCTCTCTAATGAGTTTCTGAAGGCTACAAATTATATAAGAGGAGACTGCCTATCTTCTTATTACAGAAAAAAAATATTTTGCTTGGAGATTTTCATTGCCAGAGAGGCATCACTTTTGGGTTAACAACACAACTCCCTATAGACTATGTCTTCTTATTTGTAAGACTAATAATTTTCTCTTGGGGACCAGGAGGTTGAAAGCATGTGATATAATTAAATAGAAGCTCTGCCCTCAAAATGTTTACAGTCTAATGGGCTAAAGATCTCAAATTCCTACACTAGGTTGCTTTCCATGATATAATAAAAAAATAGTAACCTGGTAATGCTGTACAAGGGAGGCAGGGAGCATCTCTAAGGAAGTTTATAAAAACATGATAGTGATCACATTATCTGGATGTTGGTGTGATGGAGTGAGATCTGAAGATGGCCCAGTTAAGTTTTATGCTGTCATCCAGGTAAATTCATAATGAGAAAAAGGAATGAGCATTTTAGATTAGAGCTGAGTGAAAAATGAAACCAAAAACCTAGGAGGAGTAGAATTAAAATGAGTGAGTATAATAAGCACCTACAGTACTTAAACCTAAGGAGTCAAGTAGCAATCTGTTCACTGGTTCCTTCACTCAACAAATGATTTGTAGGCACAAACAAGATACTGAGCCACACGGCAAGCTGGTGACAAGAAGTGAAGGCACTCTGCACCAGGTAACTTGGCACTAGACTGTGAAGGTGTCACACTGGTTAATTCAATGGAAATGGTTCGTGCCTAGTCCAGAGCTAAGCATCCCATAGAGAAGCAACAAATTCCCCTTCCCCCTCCATCTCTTCTCATCACACCATGCGTAATATCAGCAGAGAGAGGAGAAAAGGCTGCCACATATCCAATTATTTCCAATAATGGGTTAGCAAAGAGTGAGGTCAAAGGCATTCCAAGAAAATAACAAGTACTTAAGGGACTACTATGAATTTACGATTTTGTTCCAGATACAACATTCCATTTTCTATTCTTGCTGAGAAAAATTAGAGAAATTTAATAGTCATGACTTTCCTTGGCATAAGGAGACCTGCATTGTTTGTATTCGTAACAGATGGAATTGAACATTCCAAGCAGGGCTAAGTACACCACTGTCCCTCAAAGCTGGTGTTTTTCCATTAACAGCGCCACACTCGGCACTAGATAGACCAAAGCTGGGGAATCATCACCAGGACAAGACTACTGATGATGTTAGAGTTTGATTCCAGCAGCATTGCAGCAGGCCGTAGCTTCAAGAGAAAGCTGGGATCTCATTTTCAAGTCTACCATAAAAATAAAGACTATTTATTTTAAATGGAGAGGGGGGAGGTTAAAATATATAATCTGAGCTTATTTAACTGGATCACAACTGATAATTATGAAACAAACAAAGCAAATGTAATTCAACCAGAAGAACCTGGGCTCAGAAGTGTGCAGAGGCGTGAAGTACTGATTAAATTCTTCCTACATTCATATCCCCGAGGGTTCAATGTTTAATGCACTTTTGACCTAACCTGTTGACATATGAGAGTAATATAATAATTTGAAGGAAAAGCAAGAAGGGTGTTTGTTATATAATTATTTAAAAGAATAGCTCAAGGTAAAAAAGAGGCAAGAGGAGTATTGGGAGGGAGCTCTGGTGGTCTAGTGGCAAGAAGCTGCACTGCAAACCTGAAGGTGCGTGGTTCACACCCACCAGATGGACAAACTCCTCCTGTTCCAGTTGGATCCAATTTGATGGTACACCAAATTATAAAGAATTTTTTTTAAAAAAAAAGAGGGGTATTGGAGACAGAGGTCTGTAGACATTGGGGCGGGGGAAAGGGCATATTTACCTAACCTTGAAACCCGCTAGTGCCGTATTATTCTACACACCAGCAAAGCAAACCCCCTGCCATTAAGTCTAGTTTGATACACACAGCGACCCTTCACTGAGTTTCAGGGACTGTAAATCTTTATGGAGGAAAAACTGCCCGTCTTACTCTTAAGAGGAAAAAGCCTGTTGGATTTGAACTGCAGCTCTTTTACTTAGCAGCTAAATGTGGTACACACTTTGCCATCAAGCTCCTAATTAGACTAAAAGGCTTCAATATTTTAAAAAAAAGTATGTATATACAATTTCACGATGTGTCTCTCATTTTTAAAATGTAATTAGTAATAAAAATGAACAAATGACCCAGCATATTGTTTGAGGGTTCTGGTGGGGTTTTTGGCCTGGTTTTTGTTTATTCTTTTTGAATGACATCGGTAACCTGACCCACTGCGATCTCAGTGGTGGCTGCTGTTGGAAGTGTTCTCTTTGTCATTACCACTGTGACGGGGTTTAATGAGTGCTGGATGTCAGAAGAATTGACTCGTCTCCATCTGGAAGTAACTCCAAGGCACCATACTGGCCAGGAGGAAGCTGAAGCCGAAGCCATGGAGTAAGAGAGAATCACTACCTCACTATAAGATTTATTAAATCTAGGTGTCTTTGATGTTTTTTAAACTCTCCTGAGTATTTTTTAGTAAAAGAAAGGAAAAAAATGGAAGGAAGAGAGAAGGGAAGACTGCCTGTCTACTGATGTGAGAGTGCTGGTTCAGCTTGGGGAGCCAGCCTGGGCTGTATGTCCCCTGAATGCGCATGGCCGTACAAGAGGAGCAGAGCACCTCAAAGCTTGAAGGGCTCATGAAGCGACCTTACCACCCTATCTCCCTGCTTCCATTTCGTTTACATGAGTGGAGAAAGAAAGAACCCCAATTGTCTTGTATAAGCCACAATGATGCAGACATTTCTATCCTAACTCTACCAGAGAACTCTGTTAGCCTAGAGGAGAGAAAGTGATGCTACCAAGCCAAAGGTGGGTGATTTGAATATGTAGCCCTCAGGCCTGGTTTTAATTGTTTTTGGTCAAACATTCTTCTAGGTGGTATAGCACTGGTCTGTCCACTTGCTGTACAGAGGTAACTCGTGGTTGCTGTGATGCTAAACACTGTGACACTGATGTGTCAAACGTGATAATGGTTACCCACGGTGGACAGTGTTTGGTGGAGCTCCCTGATTAAAACAAGCTTGGAAGCAGGAGTGGCATCCACTTCCAAAACAGCTTGCCTCCAGAAACCCTATGAACTTGGAGAAATGATGAAAGTTATACAAGTGCTCAGGTCTTTCGTTCACAGGGTTGCTATGAGTTGTCTACAACTTGATGGCACTTAACAACAACAACAACCTAATTCTAAATAATAAACACAAGGAGTTCCTTTAAAAAGCAATTCCCATTCTGGGAGGCTAAAGTGTGTAGGCCTTACCCTCTATGGCTCTGGTTCACTTCCGTTCATACAAAGGGGGTGACTCACCCAACAAAGGATCCGTGAAGTCCAGCTGTGCTGACGAGCTGGAGGCTGAGGAATGGGACTCACGCCTGGCCTGTGTCCACAGACCAGCGGTTTCCTGGAACTCGTGATGGATGCGCTCCATGTTCAAGTACTCCAACCACAGGTCCTAGGAAGGAAGCACAGAGCTTCAGATACACTGCAAGGTGGGGACGCGGGTAGATAAGGAGAGAGGGGAGAACTGACAAAACCATCCCAAAATACGGATCCTGGTGGAAACGAGCCATAAACATAAATAACAATTATGTGACAAATGAAAATGTGAACACTGACGGGCTGTTAGCCGGG